TTTAAGTGAGAACATACCATTTTTGGTTTCTAATTCCTGAGTTACTTCACTTAGAATACTGGCCTCCAGCTCCGTCCAAGTTGCTGCAAAAGGTATTATTTCATTCCTTTGTATGACTGAATAGTATTCCATGGTGTACATAAACATTTTCTTGATCCACTCGGCTCCTCTTCTTCAGTCTACTCAATGTGAAGGTGACAAGGACGAAGATCTTTAAGATGATCCACTTCCACTTAATGATGAGTAAATATATTTACTTTTCCTTATGATTTTCTTAGTAACTTTTTTCTCTAACTTACTTTATTGTAAGAATACAGTATATAACACATATGAAATATAAAATATGTGTTAGTTAACAATATATGCTATTAGTAAGCTTCCAGTAATCAGTGGACTATTAGCAGCTACATTTTTTGAGCAGTCAAAAGTTATATGCAGATTTTCAACAGCATGAGGAAGGAGGGGGTGGGTCCCTAATCCCTATATTGCTCAAGGGTCAATTGTAATAACACCCACTTAAGAATCCATGGTATATATGGTAAGTGCAACAACTCTAGAAGAGAGTGCTAGGAGCTGGCAAAGGAAAGAGAAAACAGAATTTAAAGCAATCTGTAAAGGACATGCAGGGTTTAGATGACGTGGAAGGGTGAGGGAAAACCAACATTTGCTGTGAGGGCATTATTAACTGCCAGACATTGTCCTATGCCTTACCTCATTTAAGAGAATTTCATTTCATACACGGAAAAACTGAAGCTCAGACAGGTTAAATGATTTGTCTGAGGCCACAAAATTAGTTAAATGACAGAAGTGGGATTAGTAGATGTTTTCATTTTATCAGTGAAACTGAGCCTCAGGGAGGTTACATATTTTGTATGAAGTAACAAAACTGGGATTAATATATAGCCAAGTTTAAATGAGATCTGTAAATCTAATGCCTACACTAAAAAAAAAAAAAAAAAAAGTGTGAAGGTCTGTATTGCTTAGCAAAAGACATAGGGAAGCAAAAATAAACTTAAAAAATCAGATTAGACCACCAAAAACCAGTCCCCATTTTAACTTATGTGGCAGAGAACCATATATTAAAGACCACCAAGCGGCTTAAAAATCTCTTTTTAAAAAATGAATCTGTTTTCATTATTCAATAGTTTTTGTCTTAATTGATACATTTACTAAACAATTACTAGCTCCAATTAGCACTCAGTTACAATTCAATCATTAAATTGAACCTCAACTTAGCTGTCAACCTAGTCAAAACAGTTAAAGTGATTTTACAGTCATCCTCAGTTGCAGAAGTATAATATTTATGGCTGGAGTCATTTTATTTTTAACTAATTTTTAAAAAAAGATTGCTTTATAACAATGCGTTATGAGTCCTTTGTGGTCAATACTGCCTTTTTTTTTTTGAGACGGAGTCTCGCTCTGTTGCCCAGACTGGAGTGCAGTGGTGCAATCTTGGATCTGAGGCTCCTGCAGCTTCCCGAGTAGTTGGGACTACAGGTACGTGCCACCATGCCCAGCTAATTCTTTGTATTTTTAGTAAAGATGGGGTTTCACCATGCTGGCCAGGCTGGTCTCCAACTCCTGACCTTGTGATCCGCCCACCTCAGCCTTCCAAAGTGCTGGGATCACAGCTATTTTAAGGACTTTTTAAAAAGTGAAGCTAAACATCTATTCATCCCTATTCTTCATCTATAGGGACTTGTGCTCTATTTTTCTTTGAAGACCAAAGTAAAAACTCACCTTTGTGAGGGCCTTCCTATAATTAAAATTAATCATTTTTCCCCCATAGCTTCTACAAAACATTGCTTGTACAACTATTTAGCACTTATTTCATTCCACCTTGTATGAAAGCTATTTGTTTACAAACATTTCTATTTCTCTTTAGGAATAAGGACTATGCATTATTCACCGTTGTATTCTCCCTGCATTTATGGCAGTCCTTTGCACATTCAATACAAGCTTTTTAGCCCTGTGCATCTCTTCATCTGGCTGTTCATCTGTACCCTTTGAAACATCCTTTATAAAAAACCAGTAAGTGTAAAAAACAAAAAAAAAACCATTGATAATAGGTTTCTCAATAAGAAAAGCATACCAATTATGCATACATCTGAACTAACAAACATGAAGGAAATAGGCTATTTAATACATTCTGTTTTAAAAGTAGGTTTGATCAGCCTTGTAAATTGAAAATTGGGAGCCACCAAGATAATTCATCAACAAATATGCACTATGTATACAAGACACTATACAGGTGATGGTGAACCAAAGAGATGTCGTCCTTGCTCTCACAGATCTCACAACCTACTATGGGGCCAAAAATATATGTATATGTGTATGTTATACATATATACACACACATACACATATACATACATATACACATACACACACATATGCTGTAAGAAAACAAATAGGTGGTAACAATTAGAGTGGGGGTAGAGGACAGAGGGCTCCTCAAATAGGGTGGACAGCTTGACACAAGACACTCGAGCTAAGACTCCAAGGATGAAAAGAGTCAGTTACGTAGAGACAAGGGGACTAGCATTGTCAGCAGGTAGCTGAGGCCCTAAAGGGGAGGGTCATGTGCTGCAATGCCAGCTTCAAGCGAATACAGTTACTAAAACACATCTAACCTTCTATGTGAATGTAGTTACTAAAACATATCCTCCAACTTTCTATTTTTCTGTTGCTATTGTTTCTACTACCACTTCTCCTTTTCTGGTGATAACTATTTTAAATTTTCTGGCTAAATTAAATGATGGCATGAATTCTGGGGAAACTAAGACTACCTATTTCCAAATAATCCTAAATTCCTTCCAGTCCTTATGACTGATGAATTCATCTTGAAGTGACAACTACGTCCCAATTAGGAAAGAGTGTTTCTTTATATGCACTTAATTTTTTGATTTGGAGGCTTCCTGATTGCTAATCAGCATGTTGTGTGATTACCTCAACAAGTACTTATAGAACGTTATTCTGTCACTGGAAAAACGCTCCGCTGCTTTCTGAAGTTTAGGTTGCTCTGGAGTCTAGGAAGAGTGAACGTACCTAAAGCAGTTTCTAATTACTGGACATTCTCAAATCTGCTAGAGCTACACATCCAATTCTGAGAACACACTGGAAAAAGCCCTGGATTAGAAATGAGAGAATGTAGGTTTTAGTACCAGGTTAGCCACATTGTTAATGCAAATTTGAGTAAATGGTTTATTTCTTTTAGGCCTTTTGTTTTGTTTTGTTTTTTGACAGTCTTGTCTCTGTGGTCCATGCTGGAGTGCAGAGGCACGCTACCGGGTCACTGCAGTCTCTACCTCCCAGTTTCAAGCCATTTTCATGCCTCAGCTTCCTCAATAGCTGGGATTACAGGCATGTGCCACCACACCCTAGAACTCCTGACCTCAAGTGATCCACTTGCCTCAGTCTCCCAAAGTGCTGAGATTACAGGTGTGAGCCACTATGCCTAGCCTTACACCTTGTTTTCTTATTGGTAAAGTAGAAGTATCTAGAAGTTGCATGCTACACAAATTCAACCATATATACTTGGCAAAAATTTTTAAAGAAAAATATCAGCTTAAGAGTACTAATTGAGTACATGCCTTGGAATAAGCATGAGCTGGAAAGAACAAACCTGTTGTTACATCACTCATTTCTGTTCTCACATGCCGCTCATTGTAAATCTTGCTCAGTGGCATGATTTTAGTGTTTAAAGATTTATTTGTTTGTTTGTTTAGGACAAAGTCCCTACACATAATCTACTTGCTTCATATACATACATATGTATATTATGCATGTACATATATGCTATCAGGGCTCACATGAAAAATCAGCCATTCAGGTGATGTGATTTATCTCATATGCTTACTTTAGAGTCAATAGGGTGTTGACTCCACTATACAATACTGGCATAGAGAACACATAAGTCAAAGTAGACAGGACCCAGCCGTACCATTGGCTAGGGCACAAATACAGTCACATATGTGGAGAATGATGTACGTAGAAAGGTCTTCATTGCACAATGCTCTTTAATAAAGATCTGGGAAAAAAAACACCTAAATGTTCAAAAGGATAGGGTTGATGAAATAATAGTACATTATAAAATGGAAGATTATGCAGCCATAAAAATAAGGAAATACCTTAAATAATAACAGAACAACTTTTAAGGTTAAGTGAACAAATAAGGTACATAATCACCATGCATGGTATGTACCATTTACACAGAAAAAGGGAAGAAAAATAAAATATATATAGTAATTTATTTGCTCTCACATGTGTAAAATTTTTCTGAAAAATGTACCAGAAACTGGTAGCACTCGTTGCTTCCTAGGCAGAAAATGACTTCACTGAGTATCCTTTTGTACCTTTTGAATTTTGAACCATGTGAATAAATGTGTTTCCTATGAACAAAGTGACAAGTTTAGATCAGCAAGACAGCAATTTGAGATGAAATGGGATCACACCCTTAGTAGGAAAAACTTTTTGAAGCAGGTGGTACTTCTAAGAGTAAATACCCACACATGGAATGTTGAAACTGTAAGGAACTTTCCTTAAGACAACCATCTATTCCAAACTTCTCATTTTATAGATCTGTAAACTGAGACCTTAAAAATTCAGTGACTTGCGTAAGGTCACACAGCAGAAGACATGGGATTAGATGTTAGATATTCCAGTATCAACTTTACACTATTATCATGCCATCTTCTCATTTTCTATGGGCAAAACAGAACCAAGTAAGTTTGGGCTACATTACAAGCTGTCATTTTTTTTTTTTTTTTTGAGACAGAGTCTCGCTGTGTCGCCCAGGCTTGAGTGCAGTGGTGTGATCTCAGCTCATTGCAATCTCCAACCTCCGGGGTTCAAGCAATTCTCCCTGCCTTAGCCTCCCAAGTAGCTGGGATTACAGGCACCTCCCACCGTGCTCAGTTAAGTTTTGTATTTTTTTTTTTAAGCAGAGACAGGGTTTCACCACCTTGGCCAGGCTGGTCTTGAACTCCTGACCTCATGATCTACCCCCCTCAGCCTCCCAAAGTGCTAGGATTACAGGTGTGAGCCACCACACCTGGCTGAGTTGTCATGTTTTATCTAAATTTTAGAGCCTGAAGTATAAACTAACCTTAAGCCCTTAAACTACTAATTTCTTATTTGGATCACTATATGGCTACACTTACGAATATGCTGTGCATACCTCTATCATTGCATGTATACAATATGATAGATGCACGATGTGACAGACACACAATATGACACACGTACTTTTGCTATCCTAACATATATGAATTTACTGAAAGAACTAAAATGTCTTCATTTTTTAAATATACACACGCATAGCACAAGTGTGTTGCCAAAAATATGAATACAGGTTTACAATTCCTTAACTAAAACCCAAGGGTTGGATGTTTTAGAAATAAGAATTTCATACAATTTTTAAGTGTTACAAGGTATATAAACCAATATATAACATCCCACATACCAGGGGCCAAGGACAGCACCCCATAATCAAACATACTAATATAGTTTTAGCAAAACACATGGGATAAAGACTATATACAGCTTCTCAATAGTTCAGGTCATATTTTGCTACCAAATGAATTTTGTTGCCAAGCTTAAGAAGTTTTTGGTTTTCAGCGCTTTCTGAATGTTAGTCTGAGATGTGGGATTACAGACTGTACTCATAGAGTGCTTCTAGAAAGTACAGCCAGTCACTTCGACTCTCATCTTTTTGATGAGACTAGAAAAATAAATCATAGCAAGTAGCTTTTATATTCCATGTTTGGGCCAAAGACTTGTACTGTGGTTAAGGAATCTAATTTAGCAGAAGGCGCAAGAGCTGACATCGTGAGTGGCTAAAATGAGGGGGAGAAAAAAAAGAAAATCCTAATCATACAGCACTGAACTACTGCAGCCATTCGTTAGTTATTAATTTAATAAAAGCTTCCTCCCTTTAAACCATGAGTTTATAACTGGAAATAGGTCAATAAAATTTCTGTCCCACACTGCTCACAAGCGGATGGAGGCAATGAGCTTTAATCCCACTGGAAGGTACTGCACTCTGTCTAGGACCAGGATATGTAATAAAAGCATTTCAAATATACAGGAATAAGCAGATATGTACACACTATTCTCAACTTGGACCGTTACTCTATAATATAAACGAAAGGGGTTTGTTTTCTAGTCAATCTCTGCTGATCTCCTGTATCCAAGTTCTTCTCTTTATCTTGTGAGTCTTGTACTACCTTTTACAAGGGGAAAAAGCTCTACAGCGAAAACACAGAACACACTAAAATCCTTTCCTTTCTCTTTACAACTCAAGCCCCACCTCCATTTTGTTTCTGTTACTAATTATTTTTCTGAAAAAGTATCAAATTTACACTAAAAGACTAAAATTCAACTTTGCAGACAACAATGTTTTAAAAAATATAATTCAGTTTGGTGATATTATTTTGCAGTCTTACAATTTTAGCTATATTTTAACTGAACCAATTGTTCTGTTCAATTTATGAGTTAACACTCAGCTAGTTTGTTTTTTACAAATAGTGTATTCCATTCTAAAAATGGAAGTAGCAGTGGTGAGCAAGAAAATAACCCTCTGAGTTTTGGCTATTCAGGAGGAAGTACTACTTTCTCCAATTTGAATCACAATTCATAAAAACCTAACTAGCTAGATCTTAAATATACAAATACATTAATAATCTAGTAAAGCAACAGAAAAAGGTAAACTAACCAGCCTATTTTTGTCTGGAGAAACCCCAACAAACTCTGCTGGATTCCTTGGCCATTTGCATTCAGAAGTACCAAAAACTAAAATCCTTCTTACTAAATAATTTATTCTACACCAGACTTGTTTCCTCCATACCACCCTACCCAAATTATCAGCATTATTCCAGAATATAATCATTTAGTTTGAGACGACTAAAAAACCCCACACTCCAAAATACCAATTGTGGTTAGTCTGTAAAGAAATGGTCTGAAACTACAAAATGTTATCCTAGGACACATAACCAATCGACCAAAAGGACTTCTGGAATATGCTGCCAAGATTTAGAATGCACAGGCAGAAATAGCATACGCGGTCACGATGTCCCTTAAGCCACATGACCTTCCTACGAAAGCAGAGGCTTAAACTTATCAAATGAGAACTCCCCCTTTCTCTGAAGTTAAAACAAGGCAGGGCAGCTGGAATTAGTGCAGCAGGGACAGAACGGCTGCTGACTAGTCAGAACGGGTCGTGGAATGCAAAGTCCCTGTGCTTTCGCTGCTCCCCTTACCGTGAGAAGATCTGGGAGGGAGGAAAGGAGGAGAAACACCCCAGAATCCTGGTAGAAAAGCCCCTGGCCTCGAAGATGGGCTCTAGGGAGACAGGGAGGGGCAGCTCCGTGTGTGATGACCCTTTGTGAACATGCACTCTGTGGCAGCTTCGGCTCCACCGAGGCTTTGGGAGAGCGGACTACGGATGCCCAGCGCGACCCAGCTGTGAAGGCCACGCCGGCGGAGAGGCTCCATGGCACCTCCGCCGGCTTCGGGAGCCCTTCCCTCTCCCACCTCCGCGGGTCACCCCAGGGCCCAGCGGCTCCCGATCACGCTCGCGCGGACCACGGAACAGCGACGCAGAAGCCGGTCTCTTTCCTCAGCGTAATCCCTCCGCAGCAGGCCGCGCACTAGTTTTAATCACGCCCCACCCCCTGGCCGCTGGCGCCACCTCCGCCACTCGGGCGCTTTCCAGCAGCTTCCAGAAACGTCGCCTCCCCAAACCCAGCCACTCACACATGGCGGGCTCAGCAACCACCGGCCCCGCCCCTCCTCGTCGCCGCAGTCGCAACTGCGTCTGCGGCCACAGGGCGGAAGGCCACGCCTCTGCGGAGCGCGACCGGAAGTGCTCACGTCTTCACCTTCCCCGCCACGCCTCCGTTCTTTCAGGCCCTGCGTGCAGCAGGAAGGAGGACTCTTTTGCCGTGGACTGAAGCCGGAAGCTGCCTTCCTAGTGGAAACGCGAGTGGGGGAGGAGCAGTCCGCGGGGAACGTGGGTTGAACGTTGCAGCTAGGGTGGAAATCAAGCTGGAACAGGAGTTCCGATCGACCCGGTACCAAGAAGGGGAGTGCCCGCGGCAGGTAACGGAGAAGAGGGAGGGGTTTCTTTCCGCTCTCGAAATTGGGAAAAGAGACAGAGCTGGGATGACCTATGGGGTAGTCGGCGCGCTGAAAGGATGGGCTAGGCTGGGACGGGGTTCAAGTGGGAAAGATTGATGATTAAGGTATAGAGTTGGACTTACAGATCCGTTTGGGCTCAGAGAGGTGAACGCTGAAGAGAAACCAGAGTTTGTTTTCGTTTTCCAAGGAGCGTCGAGTTGGGCAGGGTTAACGGACCCTGCGCCTCTTGGGGCGTCTTAGGTTGGGTGTTGAAACTTCCCTCCTTTGGTCCTGTTCGTCTCTGATTCAAAATAGTTGGGTTTGGTACCAGACAGGGCTGGGTGCAGAAAGCCGACCCTGTTCTTCGGCTTCCAGGTAGGTTGTGGCCTCGCTCTTGACAGTTCACGTGCCGAGCCTACTCGCTCTCGGAAGGCAAGCTCAAATGGGTGGGTATAAGGCCCCCTCTTCGAACAGCTGTTTCCCTGGGTTTCTCCATTTTGCACACAGGAGTGTGAATTAAGTTTAATTGCATACTTGTTACGATTCCCAGGGCCAGCTTGACACGTTCATTGTGCTATATAACTGGGTTCATGCTTGGCTAATAATTCACATTAAGGCTTCTGGAGTATAAGTGGCCCACAGAAGTATGAAAAGTGGATATTAGAAGAAAGATGCTGGGGGTGAAGTAGAGCTGAGGAAAATAGAACTGGAAAGCTGGGTTGTTTTCACAGTACAGTGAGCTTTAGGTCATAGTACTACCTTTAGGTTATATTGGGCTGTTTTGACGGACTTTACTGTAATCAGGCTGGAGTAAATAGAGAATTTTAAGCTAAGCATTGACAGGCTTAGACTTATCTTACAGGGACATCATTTTGACAGTGATATGGAAGGGAAAGAGGTAGAGATTTGAGACCTTTCCACAGAACTGTCCACAGAATTTGGTGACTTACTGTGAGGGAAATAAGGAATAGGGAACAACTCAGACTTTCTAGCCTGTGTGTTTCGAAGGATGGAGACGCCCGCATTTAAGTGAGATATGGGAAGGAGGAGCAGATTGTTTTTGAAGGGAAGAAGAGCAGCTACTTAGGGTCAAATTAAGTTGTAAAATCCACCCCAGGATTTTATATTTAAGTCGAAGTGAATTGTATTTGGAAGAAGACCTGGGGAGCTCACCTCTGGTATTTTTTTTATGTCCCCCATATGGACAAATAAACCTCTGGTAGTAAATGAATTGTCTTTTGGGGAATTCTATATATTCAGGATTTCAACCACCAGCCTATCTTTTTCCCGCTGAAATGTTGGGTGACGGAATCAGGAGAGCAGTTTGGAGGCCCTTTATATTTTATAATTGAGAGAGACAAAGAGAAAACCGTTTGATTTGAAAAAGTTTTCTAGGTTCCCTCAGGTGGTTGGAAATTTTCATCAAAAACAGTTTATTCAAGGTACATAGCCTACTAGTTTCCTATTTGAGAGTACCGCAGAATGATACAACGTGTACTGCTTCTCTACGCAGAATGAAGTATAAAATTAGCACCACATAGTAGCTTTGTCAGGTGCTAAACTTTTTACATCTTTATCTCATTTAATTCTTAGAAGAAACTAATTTTACAAGTAAGCTTCGGGACCAAGATCCGCAGGTACAAAGCCTGCAAAGCAGGAACCATGGAAGTTTGACTCCTACATAGTTCCCTTTTGTAAGTAGATTATAAATAGAACCAGCCAAAGGGTAATAAGTTGTCTGTGCCTAAAAAGAAAGAAAAAAGTTAGCATCAGTAGTTCTCACCAGAAGGGGTGATTTTGCCTACCGGGGGACATTTGGCAAGTCAGGAAACCTTTTTGGCTGTTGGATCTAGAGGGTAAAGGTCAGTGACGCTGCTAAACATCGTCAGTACATAGGACAGCCTTCACAAACAGTTATTTGGTCAGAGTTACCTGTAATGCTGCGGTTGAGAAACACTGTCTTATGGTTATTTCTTCAGGAATAGAAAATTAAGATTCACTGATACTTTCTTTAAAAAGCAGTTTTATTTTTGAAGTTATTCCTTGGCTTGAAAGGTTTGTGAAGTTTATATAGCTGAACCAGAACAGCATAATTAGCTTTTAAAGTGAATTATGAGCCATCGATTCCCAGGAGATGGGTGTCATAGAATCATGCATTCGGATTTGGGAAAGACTTATGCCTAGAATTATTTTACAACATTTCTGCTAAGTGGTAATTCTCCTTTGCCCTAAAGATCTCCTGTATTTGATTTTCCTATAATTGTAAACCCACAATTAAAATGCTCTTAATTATTTTTTGCTTACACTGAGCTCCAGTCTCTCGTAATTTTTACTCTATTAAATGTAGTTCTACGCCATGGGACTAAGCTCAAAACAAGCTTGCCACATGTAATTTGTACTAGGACAGTGTTTATATTGTTCTGATAACAAAAGAAGTTAAATGTGTAAATTAGATCATTTACAAATAATAATTTGTTAGCAGCTTTTAATAAGTAGTATTGTAGTATTTTTTCCAACTGATGAAGTATTAATGTTCTTGGTAGTTGAAAACAATAGGAATGTATGGAATAGATAGTACATTGTTTCTTTTGTTCCTGCCAGATAGTGGCACAATGGATCTGGGGTTTTTCTCTGTATAATGCTGGCATATTTGTTTCAAATTGTACATAGACTCTAAGAAGTTAGGTTTTCAAATTCTGGTCAATATAGTTTGCCTTAAATAGTAGCTACCTCTACTACAAGTTTTATTTAATTTGTTCACAAATGAGTCTGTTATGAAAACTGGTCACTGCCCTCTGTTCACAAATTTGCTAGGTTTGTAAATGTAGGTATCATTTTCACTTCAAGATTATAATTGTAGAATATGTTTATTCCAGGACATATAGCCCTCAACATCTACTTAATATATACGTCTTGTAAAATAGCATGGTTCTTTTTTATAGTAAATAGAATTTTTATTTAATTGTCTATTGACTTTTTTTTTCCAGGGTTCATTGAAAAAATCGTTAGTGATATTGACATGTCTCAAGTGACATAAATTAGCCAATGACTCGGAATGATGGATTCTCCGAAGATTGGAAATGGTTTGCCAGTGATTGGACCAGGGACTGATATAGGGATATCTTCACTCCACATGGTGGGGTATTTGGGAAAAGTTAGTGAACTTATTTTTTGCCTGAGTGCAAAGTTTTTTTTTTCTTCTGTATTTTTGAGACTTAAATTCAATTGCGATGTTACCAGTTAACTTCTAAAAAATTGTGTCTTCCACGGAAATCTTACAGTAATGGCGAAAGATTGTTTTAATGTGTTTACCTCTCTGTTTTATTGATACATGAAAGTGGAAATAAAACATAGACCTTATGATTTACTGTTCTTTGAAAATATGGTACATAAATTCTCCCTGGTAGTTGATGTTACTTTTTTTCTTGCAAATAAAATTGATGCTGTTCTTAACACTTAACATTTAATATTTAAAACCATAACATAATTATTTTTGGAATAACAGCTTAAAGGCTTATATGCATTTCTTTTATTTGCCATGTTTAAAATATCTTGGCAGGATATTTGTAATAGAAAATTATAATTTTTTCTGGTTACCTTTCCATCTAACTTTTAATATTTTGATATATTGTAGGAATGTCTATATTTTAATTTGCTTTATTTCTCTTTTAGAATTATGATTCAGCTAAAGTTCCATCAGATGAGTATTGCCCTGCTTGTAGAGAGAAGGGAAAGTTAAAAGCCTTAAAGACTTACCGAATTAGTTTTCAAGAATCTATCTTTTTGTGTGAGGATCTGCAGGTAAAGTATTAATCTTATATAGTATATATAAGATTTTTCTTTTTTCTTTTGCTTTTTTCTTGTTTTAAAAGTTTACTCATTTTTTGGTTTTTAGGCTGGATTTTTAATATGTAATCTCAGTTTCTAAGTCTGTCTGGTATACAATGTTATTTTTCCACCTACCTTTCCCTTTGCATAAAGATCTTTGTTTTTATTGCCATTTGACTTGAGAGAGGAGAAAATACATTTCAAGTTCTTTTTTTTAACCTTTTGGAGGTCCTTGTTAGCTATTAGCGTATAGTAGTTACTCTCTCATCTCTTTGGTTTATCTTTGCAACTGATGGGAAAAGTTGCGAATCTCTAATGTACCTGGAAGATTGTTTTGGAAATTGGTTAGTCTAAAACCAGTATATATACTGTGAACCAGATAGAGCATAGAATCTTGTAAAGTCTAAAAGACCCTTTTAGAAGCTCTAAATAGCTTTTAAAATTATAGTAATTTGTACCCACTGGTACGGCTTTTATATAGCAGCTCATTAAATTCTATAATACTCCACATTTTATTGTATTTAACAGTTTATGAGACTGTCTCATACACATTTAATTCTCAGAACTTTGCAGGATTTGTATTGCTATTTCATGAATAAGAAAATAGATGGATTTCAGAGGGTTTAGGAACATAAGATCCTGATACAGTGGCAGAGCTGTGGTTGGAATACAGACTTCTAATTTTGGATCTGTTTATTCCAGCAAAAAATTAACAGTTCATCAGAATTACCTAGAGTGCTTTTAGTAAATTTCTGAGTGTCAACCCCAGATGCTGCTTCAGTAGAGTTGGCCCAGAATTCTGTGGTTTTGTAACATTTGAGGATGAGTCTGATCATCAGCCAGCCAGGTTTGGAAAATACTAGACTTAATCACGTGGTTGTTAATAGATACTTATGCTGGGTATAATTTGAAGTAAAGTAATCCCAGGCATGTCTACAAATATAAATTTCTTTATGCATATATTCAATGGTTTTTTTTATGAGTGTCACTGTTTGCCATTGTTCCAGATACAATGTTAGGATACAATAATAAAACAAAAATTTCTTGCCCTTAAGGAGGTTATGTCGTAGAGTGGGAAAGACAATAAACAAGTATGTGTTTCTGTGTCATGTGATAAAAAGTGCTGTGGAGGAAAATAAGGCAGTAGGGACTGGAATGCCAAAGTAGGGGGAGTTTGCAATTTTAATTAGGTTGGTGAGGGCAATGCTTCAATGAGAAAGTGAAATTTGAGCAAAAGCCTGAAAGAGGTGTAGAGCAGTGAGCTTGCTAGGCAGGGGAAGCAAGTTCCACGGAGGCCTTGAGAGAATGGAGGCTGCCTGTGATATTTGTGCTACTGCAATAAAACCAGCAGGGCGATAGAAGGTGGATCAGAAAAATAATGGGGGAGCTGGACCAAGTAGGGTTTTATAGGCCATTGTAAGCTTTCTGGCTTTTACTATGGGTGGAACCAGGAACCATAGCAGAGATGTTGGCAGAGGAGTGACATAAGTTGACTTCAGTGTTAAAAGCATTACTGTGGCTGCACTGTTGAAAATGTATGTAATGGGCAAGACCTAAAGCAGGGAGATTATAGTATAATATGAATTATATTTGGTCCTTGCCTCTGGTTTCTGTCACAGAGCTAAAACTCTTAGAATTTCCTGAGTGACAAGAGTGTCCTGTTACTCATAATGAGCCTGTTTGCTAACACTGGGGTTCATACTAATGTGGTGACTTAGGATGGAGCCGTGGATAGCCTCAGATGGGGCAAGTAGCTGGAAAGCCCACATGATTAGAGAATTAATGAGTGAGAACTTTTAGCCCTACCCACAGGCCTCCAGGAAAGGAGTGGAGGGGCTGGAGATTAAGCTGTATGAAAATATCAAGATTTGGATTTAACGCGTGTCTGGGTTGCTGGAGGGGCTGGTGCCATGTGGAAGTGGTATGCCCAGAGGAAGTGGAAGCTTCATACCTCTTCTGCCCCATACCTTGCCCTACTCATTTCTTCATCTATATCCTTTAGAATACCCTTTAGGATAAACCAATAAACATAAGTGTTCGTTTGAGTTCTGTGAGCCGTCCTTCCAAACTAGTTATGCCCAAGAAGCGGGAGTGGGAACCTTTGTAGCCAGTCAGTCAGATATACTGGTGTTCTGGATGTGGGATTGGCATCTGAAGTGGAGGGAGTCGTGGAACTGAGCCCTCAACCTGTAGGGTCTGACATGGTCTCTAGGTAGATAACATCAAAATGGAGTTGGATTATAGGATACCCATTTGGTGTCCTCTGGAGAATTGCTTGGTGTGGGGAAAAAGCCCCCACACCTCTGGTCACAAAAGTGTGCTGGGAGGATAGAATATATGAAAATTGTCAGAATCCAAATGGAGTAATTTGTGTTCAAAAAAAAAAAAAATTCCTGCCTGGGCAGGCAAGTGGCTGACAACTGTAATCCCAACACTTTGGGAGACTGAGGCAGGCAGGAGGATTGCTTGATCCTAGGAAATGGAGACCAGCCTATGCAACATAGTGTGGCCTTGTCTCTTAGAAAAAATTTTAAATTAGCTGGGCATGGTGGTGTGCGTCTGTAGTCCCAGCTACTTGGGAGGGGGACTACAGGTGCACAGCACCATACCCAGGAGGTCCAGGCTGCAGTGAGCTATGATTGTGCCACTGCATTCCAGCCAGGATGACAGGGTGTGAGACCCTGTCTCTATTTAAAAAAAAAAAAAAAAAAAGACAAATAGAGCCAGGAAAGGCTATGAAGAGAGAGCTTTCATGCATAAATACCAAAATATACCAAAAGACTGCAAAAACCACAGCCTTGCACAAAGACCGTCACCACTTACACAGAAGATACTTCTGCAAGAACATCTGCCCAACAACTGCCTGGTCCAGCCGTGGGCTGGTGTCATCCTTGTTACTGATTCTTGTAGCCAAGGGTAATTATCTCAAAACAAGTATGTGATCCTTCTCATTTTCCTTTAAAAACCTTTTGTCTTCCCTTACCTCCCTGAACACAGTTTACTATGGCATGTGTATTCCCATTGGAATACTTTATTCCTGAATAAATGTCACTTTCTTTTTAAAAGCTCTCTCTTTCTTTTTATTTAGATTGATAAGTAGAAAGGAAAAAAAGCTTTTTTCCCTTTGGACTAGTCAAAGGCAGTTGCAGTATTCTGGGGTAGAGGGTGGTGGCAGAGGTGTTGAGGCATGGTTGGAGTTTATTTATACTTTGAAGCTAAAGCCAACAGGATTTGCTGAAAGATTGGAATATGGGGTTGGAAAGAGGAATCAAGGATGGTTCCAAGATTTTTGGCTTGAAAAATTAGAAGAATGGAATCGCTAATTACTGAACTGGGAAGACTTGGAAGAGCAAGATTTTGGGGAGAAGATCAGGACCATAAGAATAGACAAGTCCTAGTCCTCGGGAGATAGGTTTTTGGCTATTAAAGTTAGATGCACTACATGGATTTTTAGTTTTGCTTGTTTTTTTGTTTTGTTTTTTTTGTTTTGTTTGAGAGACGGCGTCTTGCTCTTTCACCAGGCTGGAGTGCAGTGGCACGATCTCGACTCACTGCAACCTCCGACTCCATGGTTCAAGGGATTCTTTTGCCTCAGCCTCCTGAGTAGCTGAGATTACAGGCATGCGCGACCATGCCCAGCTAATTTTTGTATTTTTAGTAGAGATGGGGTTTCACTATGGCCAGGATGATCTTGATCTCCTGACCTCAGGTGATCCACCCGCCTTGGCCTCCCAAAATGCTGGGGTTACAGGCGTGAGCCACCACGTCTGGCCCGGACTTTTGGTTTTTGAAGCATTCTTTTTTAAGTGACAAGGCAAAAAACATATAATCAAGAATTTTAAGTATATACTTTGGAAATGTTAAAAGGAACGTGAGTAATTTATTATTGTTTTTTAAATTTCTAGTCAGCAATAAGAGCCCAATGTACTTTATGAAGTAGATTGGTTTACACCAGGGGTGAGCAAACATTTTGTATGATGCACAAGCAAGGAATGATTTTTATGTTTTTTAAATGGTTAGGAAAATATCAAAAGAAAAAATGCCAGAAAAAATCAAAAGAAAGGCCAGGTGCGGTGGCTCACACCTGTAATCCCAGCACTTTGGGAGGCTGAGGCGGGTGGATTCTTTTGAGGTCGGGAGTTTGAGACCAGCCTGGCCAACATGGTGAAACCCGTCTCTACAAAAAATACAAAATAGCCGGGTGTGGTGGCATGTGCCTGTGATCCCTGCTACTTGGGAGGCTGAGGCAGGAGAATCGCTTGAAGCCGGGGCAGAGGTTGCAGTGAGCCAAGGTTTGAGCCACTGCACTCCAGCCTGGGTGACAGAGGAGACTCTGTCTCAAACAACAACAACAACAAAACAAAAAAAAACAAAGAAGAATACCCTTTCATAATAAGTGAAAATTAAATTCAAATTTCAGTGTTCATAAATAAAGTTTTACCGGAACATAGCCATGCTCTATCATTTATGTATTGTTCATGGCTTCTTTTGCATACAACAACAGAGTTGGGTCGTTGTCACAGACTATGTGGCTCATAAAATCTAAATATTTATCATCTAGCCTTTTATCAGTAAACTTTGCTGATCCCTGTGTAAGTCCTCTGAATCAAATTATTTCAAAAGAGTTCTGTTATAAAATTTGGAGTTTACTGTGCTATAAATTGCAAAGAACCATTTGGAAAACCTCTTTTAATCAGGTATTTACATTAAAATGTTCCTTGATTTGTACACTGATATTCAAGACTGGTCCAAAATTATACCAAATTGAAACTCTCAAGTGTTTTTAAACAGTAGGAAGTTTTAACTTTTTTTTTTTTTTCGTGGAGTAGTCTATCATTCAGCGTTTACTTTGGAACATTTAATTAGTCTTTTTAAAAAGCCCATGAAATTTATAATAAAGTTTTTAAATCATTAAGGTTAAGTAATCAAAGAAAAGATTTTTTTGTTTTCTCCATTTGTAAAATGAATACATTATTATTATAATTTGTCTTTGGCCATACCTTGTTGATAATTACTTATATAAGTATAAAAAGACATGATATGTTTTCCTTTTTCCTATTTCACAAGAATGAGTACAGGAGTTTACTTAAGCTGCTCCAAAACTCAGTGAAAGACACAGGATTAGGTTTTTTTCAGCATTGGATTTTAAATGATACTAGATGGTTGTGCTGGGCTAAAATACTAATGCTTTGTGTATATTTTTATGACTTTATTGAAGACAGCTTAAAAGCTTTATTCTAGTTACAAAAATGATACATGTTCACTGTAAATAGAAACAAGTCAGGTATAAAGAAATACAAATCTTTAGAACATGTGGAAAGAGGCAACATAACTCTGTAAAAAGAAAAAATAAAGATAAAAATCTGAAATTGTTAATTTATAAGGGAAAAATCGGGGCAAGGACAAATTATATTCCAGATTGGCCTATGGTGGGAGCACAGATTATATAAAGAAAAGTCAGTGAAGACACTTGCAAAGAGTGTGGGTGGAACTCACTAAGTTTTGCAGTTCTGGGGCCTCTTATGGTTTATTACTGTTTTTTTCTTTTTTTTTTTTTTTGGATATACATTCCTTTGGAACCAAAGGTTTATTACTGTTTTGAATAAAGTAGAGGTGTAAGTAGGATGCATACACCATGATCTTGACTGCTTGAGATTCACAAAGGGTTTTCATCTCAGGAATTTTTTTTCTGTTAAAAAAATTTGTTTTGATTTTTAAATTGTAAAAAAATTTATCATCTTAACCATTTTTAAGTATAGAGTTCAGGAGTATTAGGTATATCACTTGTGCAGCAGATCTCGAACTTTTTTTCATCTTGCAAAACTGAAACTCTGTACCCATTAAATAACTACTTCCCGTTTTCCTCTCCCCCAGCTTCTGGCAACCATTCTAGTTTCTGTTTCTTTTTTTTCTTTTGAGACGGAGTCTCGAATCTTGCTGTGTTGCCCAGACTGGAGTGCAGTGGCGTGATCTCCGCTCACTGCAACGTCTGCCTGCGGGTTCAAGCAGTTCTCCCTCAGCCTCCTGAGTAGCTGGGACTACAGGGGCACACCGCCTTGCCTGGCTAATTTTTTTTTTTTTTTGTATTTTTAGTAGAGACAGGGTTTTACCATGTTGGCCAGCTGGTCTTGAACTCCTGACCTCAGGTGTTCTTGCCTCAGCCTCCCAAAGTGCTGGGATTACAGGCATGAGCCACCACACCCAGCCTACTTCCATTTTATTTTTAAGAAATAAAAGTTTCCAGGCCGGGCGCGGTGGCTCAAGCCTGTAATCCCAGCACTTTGGGAGGCCGAGACGGGTGGATCACGAGGTCAGGAGATCGAGACCATCCTGGCTAACACGGTGAAACCCCGTCTCTACTAAAAAATACAAAAAACTAGTCGGGCGAGGTGGCGGGTGCCTGTAGTCCCAGCTACTTGGGAGGCTGAGGCAGGAGAATGGCATGAACCCGGGAGGCGGAGCTTGCAGTGAGTCGAGATCTGGCCACTGCACTTCAGCCTGGGCGACAGAGCGAGACTCCATCTCAAAGAAAAAAAAAAAAAAAGAAAATTTTAAATTCACTTAACATTAGATTTTTATTAAAGCAAAAATATGTTTTCCTTATTAGCTTACTCTTGCGTAACTCAGATTAAACCCTTGATTGTTCAAATTAACCTGAAAAAAATTATTCTTTTGGAGGCCAAATTTTTGATTAAGTAGTTTGTCTCTAAGTTTTTCAAATTTATGTGTATAAATATAACCTGTCATCAAATTAATGCTAAAATTCTATACATGTTTTTCATGATATGAAAACTATAAAACATGAAGTTATTTGAATTTTTATAGTTTTTATTATTTTATTTTTATTTTCCAGTGCATCTATCCTTTGGGCTCTAAATCACTTAATAACCTAATTTCTCCTGATTCGGAAGAATGTCACACTCCACATAAGCCTCAGAAAAGGAAGAGCTTGGAAAGCAGCTATAAAGATTCATTTCTTTTAGCAAATTCCAAAAAGACTAGAAATCATATTGTTACTAATGGTGAACAAGTTTTGAACAGCAAACATAATGGAGAAGTATATGATGAAAGCTCATCAAACTTACCTGATAGTAGTAGTCAACAGAATCCAGTTAGGACAGCTGATTCCTTGGAGCGGAATGAGATTTTGGAAGCTGATACTGTTGACATGGCTACTACAAAAGATCCTGCTACAGTTGATGTCTCTGGAACTGGCGGACCTTCCCCTCAAAATGAAGGATGTACATCTAAACCAGAAATGCCATTGGAGAGCAAATATACATCATTTCCCCAGACTTTATGTGTCCAGTGGAAAAATGCTTATGCTCTCTGTTGGTTAGACTGTATCCTGTCAGCTTTGGTGCACTCCGAAGAATTAAAGAACACCGTGACTGGACTGTGCTCAAAGGAGGAATCTATATTCTGGCGGTTGTTTACAAAATATAATCAAGCAAATACACTTCTGTATACCAATCAATTGAGTGGCGTTAAAGGTTGGTACTAATATTTTTATTTATTTATTTATTTATTTATTTGGAGGCAGGGTCTTACTCTGGCACCCAGGCTGGAGTGCAGTGGCAGGATCACGTCTCCTTGCAGCCTTGACTTCCCCTGCTCAAATGAGCCTCCCACCTCAGCCTCCCAAGTAGCTGGAACTACGTTGGTGCACCACCATACCCAGCTAAGACAGTGAGATGGGGGTCTCACTATCTTGCCCAGGCTGGACTCGATTTCCTGGGCTCAAGCACCCTTCCTGCCTTGGCCTCCCAAAGTACTCCCTGTAGGCATGAGCCACCATTCCAGCCTATTTGTCTTTAATTCTTGAAAACATTAATGTTGAGTTTTGTCTCCCAGCATGTGGGAAAGATGTCATCCGTTGCTTCTGTTTTCTGGAGGCCTGGGAGCAAGGAGCCCAGGAACAGTATCACGAAGCTTGAGATAACCAGTGACATTATCCTGACAGCCCCAAAGTCAGTCAGTTTTTTTTTTAAGTTCTGGGGTACATGTGCAGAATATGCAGTTTTGTCACATAGGTATCCACGTGCCATGGCGGTTTGTTGCACCCATCAACCCGTCACCTACATTAGGTGTTTCTCCTAATGCCATCCCTCCCCAACCCCTCCACTCCCCAGCAGGCCCCAGTGTGTGATGTTCCCCTCCCTGTGTCCATGTGTTCTCATTGTTCAACTCCCACTTATGAGTAAGAATATGTGGTGTTTGGTTTTCTGTCCTTGTGTTAGTTTGGGTTGGTTCTAAGTCTTTGCTATTGTGATTTTTTTTTTTTTTTTTTTGAGATGGAGTCTCACTGTTGCTTAGGCTGGAGCGCAATGGCATAATCTCAGCTCACTGGAACCTCCGCCTCCCAGGTTCAAGCAATTCTCCTGCCTCAACCTCCCGAGTAGCTGGGACTATAGGCACCTGCCACCAGGCCCGGCTAATTTTTGTATTTTTCATAGAGACAGAGTTTCACCATGTTGGTCAGGCTGGTCTTGAACTCCTGACCTCATGATCTGCCTGCCTTGGCCTCCCAAAGTGCTAAGATTACAGGCGTGAGCCACCACACCCGGCCTAGGCAGTCTTTTTCAAAACTGTGAGGCTGTGCTTGTATCTTACTTAGCCTGTCAGGATAATAGTGGTTAGTTTTTAAGTGTACTGAAAAGCAGAATGAAGAAGTGAATAAAAATCATCCATAATCACACAACCTCCTAAGATCTCTTGTCACCCTAAGGGATATGTTTTTCATTTTATTCTCTGTAAAATAGGATACTTATGAACCCACCTCCCAACGTATGAAGAATTAAGACATTCCCAATAATTTACATTTACCTATGTGTTCCTCTCATCCCATTCTCTACCTCCCCCAATAAGTAATCATTATCTGAGTGTGTTTTATCATTCCATCTTTTCTCAGTTTTCCTTACATGTATATATCTAAACGGTATACAGTAGTCTCCCCTTATCACAGTTATACTTTTCTTGGTTTCATTTAACCCAAGGTCTGAAAGTAGATGAGTATAGTACAGTAATATATTTTGAGAGAGAGAGAGAGAGAGACACCACATTCATGTAACTTTCATTACAGCGTATTGTTATAATTGTTCTATTTTATTATTAGTTGTTGTTAATCTTACTACGCCTAATTATAAAACTTGATCATAGGTATGTAGTTAAAGGAAAAAGCATTATGTGTAAAGGGTTTAGTTACTATCCAAGGTTTTAGGCATCCAGTGGGGTCTTGGAAGATCTCCTTCTCAGATAATGGGGGACGGATAGTACTGAACCCTGTATATATAGTGTTTTTCCCTATACCTACATAATTACGATCAGGTTTAATTAAGAATAAATTAAATGTGGGCCAGGTGCAGTGGCTCACACCTGTAATCCCAGGACTTTAGGAAGCTGAAGCTGGCAGATCTCCTGAGGTCGAGAGTTCAAGACCAGCCTGGCCAACATGGTGAAACCCCATCTCTACTAAAAAATATAAAAATTGACTGGGCGTGGTGGCACACGCCTGTAGTCCCAGCTACTCTGGGAGGCTGAGGCAGGAGAATTGCTTGAACCCGGGAGGCAGAGGTTGAACAATCACTTGAACCTGGGATCACACCACTGCATTCTAGCCTGCCTGGGTGATAGAGTGAGATTCTATCTCAAAAAAAAAAAAAGGTAAAGTAAATGTGGCTCAACATGTTGCTGCCAATTGGAACACTTGTTTCTTATTGTGTCTTCCACCCACAAATTGAATGCTTTTTCCATCTTAACACTTATCAGGCACTGCGGCCATAAGTTTAGCAGTTGAGATGCAACAGCAAAATTAGCACCAATTTCTTTTTCTTTCTTCACAGTTTCAAGGATAAGAGATTTGTTCTTAGATCTCAGCAACCTCAGCATATGATTTTTTTCTTTAAGTTGAGAACTTTGACTTTTTCACTTAAAGAAGCATTTTACAGCTTCTCTTTGGCGTATCTGAATTGCCAGCATCACTATGCTTGTGCTTTGGGGCCTTTATTAAGTCAAATAAGGGTTCCTTGAACACGAGCACTGCAACACCATGGCAATAGATCACGTCACCAAGATGGCTACTAAGTGAACCACAGGCAGGGAGTGTAGACAGCTTGGATACACTGGACGAAGGGAAGATTCACGTTGCCAATGGAAGACAACAGGACAGCAAGAGAGTTCATGATGCTACTCAGAATGGCATGAAATGTAAAGCTTTTAAATTGTTTCTGGAATTTTCCATTTGATATTTTCAGACCACGGTTGACTTCGGGTAACTGAAATCGTAGGAAGCAAAACCACGGACGAAGAGGGGCCACTTTGTATTGCCTAATTTAGTTTGCTGTGAACTTTAAACAAGGGGGTTGTACAGTAAGTCTTCTGGGACCTTTTTTTCTTGTAAAAATTTATGGGGCTGCTTGTAGTTGTGGCTCATTGATTTTTCATTGCTATATAATACTTCCATTTTGTAAATATAACAGTATATTCATCTCCCTGTCAGTGGACAGTTGGTTTTTTTTTTTTTTTTTTGGCCATTGTAAATGCTGCTGCTGTGACCATTTGGGGGCAAGTCTCCTGAGGCACAGTATGAGAGTTTCCCTTCTGTATACCAGAGGAATGGAAAATTACAGACTCTTATGTCTAAATTTAGAAGATAATGACAGTAGTTTTCCAAAGTGGTTGTACCAATCAGTTCTCCCATTAGCAGTGTATGTAAGAGCTCTTCCTGATCCATATATTCTCCTTGGTTTATTTTCACACTTGAGATTTTTGCTCTTTGATATAAAATGGTCTGTGATCGTGATTTGCCATTTCCACATTTTGAAAAGGTTGTTGGCTCTATGTGTATATATTGCTCATATTTGTTCCCTCTTCTGTGAAATGCCTTTTGTATCTTATCCCTATTTGTTCTATTGATTGTCACGTTTTAATTGATTTGTATGAGTTTGTTCTTGTATCTTTGTTGCTAGAGTTACGTCAGATGTTTTGCTGAATCTGCTCCCAACTTGCAGCTTGTGTTTTTACTTTTTCAAAGCTATCTTGATTTATAGGGAAGTCTTTACCTTTCCATTTGGAGCTAGTAATGTTTGTGGTTTTTTAAAGAAATTATTGCTATTCCCAAGGTCAGAAAATCATTCACCTATATTTTCACTGAAAAGTTATAGTTTTGCTTTTGACATTGAAATTCCTCTTTCAGTTGGAATTCATATTGATGTATGCTATGAGGTAAGGATCCTTTTTTTTTCCATTTGCATAGCCAGTTTTTGTAGCTCTACTTTATTTTCTCACTTGGTCTGCCATGCCACCTCTAGCATGTATCAACATTTCATGTATGTGTGCAGCTGTTCCTTAACTCTCAATTTCATCCTCTTGGTTACTTTGTCTAACCCAGCACTCATACTTTTTAAATTATTATGGCTACCTTGTAGGGCAAGAATCCTTACTTTTATTCACCTTCTTTTGAAGTGTCTTGATACATATTTTTTCTGATCTTACTTGGCCATATATATTTTGGGGACAGATGTGACATCATACCAAGCTTTCTTTGCTTGACATTGTGGGTATTTTCTTATTCATTAATGCGCTAAAAATTTTGAGTTGGTCTTACAGTCTTTTATATGGATCTTATACATTGTTTCCCTGTTGTTAGCCATTCAGGCTGTTACTAGTTTTTGTTGTTATGAATTAACACCAGGACAAATATCCATATATCTTTTGAATTCATTACTGACTAGTATCCTAGGAGAGATATTAAAATATGAATATTAAAGGTCTTGCTGAATACAGTTTTCCAGAATGGTTGTACCGATGTATAATTCCATTTTCATTATGTAGAAAAAAATACCTCAGTGCTTTCTAACCACCTTTGGTTAGAACATTCAAGAGGTTATGGTTTTGTTAGGTAAGAAATACTTTGTTTCAATGTAGGTTTTCTTTGAACCTTTTTGTATGTGTCAGTCATTTACAGTTTTTTGCAGTTTTTAAAATTCAGTTTCTCACAAGCATTTTTGCCTTGACTTTTCTTCTATTTCGGCTTTCTCTAATTACAGGAACCCCAGTGTTAAGTAGGTGACAGTTCCGTTGTTTGTTGCAGAAGAGCAACAGTTCAATATTAGAATTAACTTTCGTTTCATGTTTTTATCTGTTACTAATTTTTTACAGAATAATTTTAGTTTTTATAATCTGGTTGTTAATTATGTGTTGAGCTGCATTACTTTGCAGTGTAAGTGTTTTTTGGTGTGGTCAGATAACAAAAATTCTGGTTAATGCTTATTTCATATTACAAGCGAATCCAGATATTTTCATTAGGGAAATGTATAAGCAGAGTGCGATCAGGCTGTTTGAATTATTTATAAGAGATGTGAGGGAAAAGATCTATTTGTAGCTTAAGAGTAAGTAGAGTCAGATGCATGCGGAGTCTTTTATTCAAAATAATTTTCTTACTAATCTTGGATAGTTTCTTGTCACAGTGATTCCATTTTGAAGATAATAAATATTACCATAAAGAAGTGATCCAAAACATAGATATGTGCCCAAAGGTATTTATCACAATAGTATTTATAATAGTGAAAAAAGAAACAACTAAAATGTTTGGCAATAGGAGAATGATTACTAAAGCAATGTTTCGGCTGAGTATAGTGGCATGCGCCTGTAAGCCCAGCTACTCCGGAGGTTGAGGCTGCAAGATTGCTTGAGCCCAGGAGTTCATGACCAGCCTAGGCAACATAGCAAGACCCTGTCTACAAACACACACACACACACACAAACAAGTGCTATGTTTCAGTCACTGTATAATAACTAGCCAGTTTTTTGTTGTTGTTGTTCTGTTTTTGTTTTTGTTTTTGTTTTGAGAGAGTGTCTCACTTGCCCAGGCTGGAGCGCAGTAGTGAGATCACGGCTCACTGCACCCTGTAGAACCCTAACCCTCCTGGGCTGAAGCGATCCTCCTACCTCAGCCTCCTGAGTAGCTGGGACTACAGGTGTGTACCACCATACCCAGCTTTCTTTTTAAGAGATAGGGGTGTCACTCTGTTGCCCAGGCTGGTCAGAGTTTTTAATGAAGCAAATTTGTGTAGACAAAGCAGGATGTGGAACCAAATAAACACTATGTTGCCACTGAAGACCCCTTCAGACTCCTCAAAAATGACATAGAAGGGAAATATACGAGGTATTAGTTTGGGAAATAATTGTAACTTTATTAAGACTCCTTATAAATTTATCTGTTCCTATGACCTGGCTAAGTTCAATAAAAGTTACACAGAGTGGAATAAATGAATAAATCATTTGTAGTATAAGTAATTGCACATAAGGAGGTAACTTCTTTAGCTGTTCTAGATATAGACATAGTATCTGAAAGGTTATTTTGCTAGACCTGTGATTATATGGGTGAGAAAGGCTTTCCCGGAGATTTTACCCATTAGGTAAGTACTAATGATATTGTGCTGATAACATACATTGAGGGAATATATGGTATACCACAGAGAAAGAATTAAGGAAATTTTGTGTTTTGCTTTTTGTCTCTGTTTGCAGAACTTACTGACTCAGCTTTCATTCTTGGGAATGTCTCAGTTTTCTGTGGCAAGATACACATCGATGAGGAATTGATAATGTTCTTTGTATTTTCTTAGATGGAGATTGTAAAAAACTTACCTCAGAAATATTTGCAGAGATAGAGACCTGTCTGAATGAAGTTAGAGATGAAATTTTTATTAGCCTTCAACCCCAGCTTAGATGCACATTAGGTAAGTAATTGGTATAACTTGCTTGTATTATACTCATCTACCATGTAGAAATACGTACATCATAAGGAAGTATAACACTGTTTGATTACCTTGGATGATCATCTTCTTGGGAGAGAGAATCTGAGTGGTCTGACTTAGGAATCTACCACTGGGTAGGTTATTGTAGGGCAGAGCCGTTCTGTATAAATATGCAGGCTGGTGTTCCCCCTCTTGAGAGTGGGTGCTATTCTCAGAACCAGGAGAATTTTAGGGGCATATCATTAGTTGCTTCTCTAGTACGTTTCCTAGCAGACAGATCTAGCATTTTTAACCTCAATTGTGCATTAAAAAGCACCGAGGGAATTTAAAAGTAAATGCCAATGCTAGGGGCATTTGAATTAGAATCTCAGGGATGGGGCTCAGGAAATCAGTAATTTTTAGAAACCCCACATGATTGTTACATGTACACAGGGTTTAGAATCTCATCTAAACCAACCATAGTAATTCTGTTTCCCTACCGTGATTGCTTTAGGAATGGACATGTGGTACAGTTTTGGCCAGTGGATATTAAGAGAAATATGCTGATGGCATTTTGAGAAAGCTTCCTCGCCTTTAGAAAGGGCACAAGGATGGGACCTCTTTGTTCTCTGTGACTTGGTTTTTGGCCTGTGGGAGTAGTGTGCAGCAAGTGAGTTAGAGTGTCTGACCAAACCTTTCTAAATTTTTTTAGTATTACAGAAAGGAGCTGTGGGGTTTTTTGTTTGTTTTTGTTTTGAAAGGGCTTTTTGTTTAATTTTCCTTTTATCCTTGTATTAACTCTTCTAGTAATGTTAGAGTAGCAGAGTACGATACTCCCTCTTAGTAATTACCCATATTATGTAAAATATCAGTGCCTTCTAGTTTTTCTCTCAATGAGTGACATTTAACTTATATTAAAAAATGATTTTTATATTTTATAATAAAATCAGTTGTTGCAACTGATTTATCTAGCATGTACAAAAGACACCATGCTTCCAGATCATTATAAAATATGATATTTTATAATATATTGACAATATATTTATAACATATTTATATACTTATACAGCCGGGCACGGTGGCCCACGCCTGTAATCCCAGCACTTTGGGAGGCCGAGGCAGGCGGATCACAAGGTCAAGAGATCGAGACCATCCTGGCCAACATGGTGAAATCCGGTATCTACTAAAAATACAAAAATTAGCTGGGTGTGGTGGCATGTGCCTGTAGTCCCAGCTACTCAGGAGGCTGAGGCAGGAGAATCGCTTGAACCTGGGAGACAGGTTTCAGTGAGCTGAGATCGCACCACTGCACTCCAGCCTGGGGACAGAGTGAGACTCTGTCTCAAAAAAAAAAAAATATATATATATATATATAAAAAATATATCTGGAAGCATGGCGTCTTTTGTACATGCTCGACGGCTTTTGACATATTTCTTTGACTCATGCTTCTGTCCCCTAATTTTCACTTTTTTCCTACATTTTATTAAAATTGATATATAATTATTGTATATCTGCTTTGTTTTTATGGACTTATACATATATATTTATTCTGTTTTTATAAAAATCTGATTTTTCATATGCCAGATTTCTGACATTTCCTCCTCTAGGCCTAAAGAAGTGTTCTAATTTATGTATCAGATAGACTCAGATGAAATGAATATTCTTTTTTCTTTATATCAAAGTGTAATTTACATATAGTGAGACCCTTTTTAAGCGTGTACAGCTCTGTAACCCTCACTACAGTCAAGATATAGGACTCTGTCACTCTAAAACTTTTCACCAGGCTCCTTGTGGTTAACCAGGTTCATCACCCCCAGCCACTGATCTGTTGAGCGAATACTCATTTCGAAGGAGCCTTTTCCATAAGATCCTAGAGTTTAGATGGAGGGGCTTTTGTGGTGCATTTAGCAGGTACCATTTCCCTTCTAGAGTCCATACTTCAGTTCCCAGTTGAATTAAAGAATGGTTTCTCCCCCAGCCTGAATCACTACCCTTCTTATCCCAGATAATTATTTTTGGAACGAAGTTACATCTTTTGCTCCACCTCCGCCATGGGCCTGGTTTTCTATGTAACAGAAGGAATTTTTAAATTATTATTTTGTGTAATCATAATAATTGGGCAAGCATACAGCTCTTTCAATGCAGGAGGATTCCTCTCTTGTTTTACTGCCCATTCAAGGATAGGTGCTATATTTTAGCTGAAGATCTTACTAATTAAATATAACTTATTTAAACATGTGTTTTGAGCTCTTTCATGATATTTTAATTCACGGAGAACTTTATGTATTTTAGACCTGAAGATTTTATATTATGATTATGAAATGTAAATTGTTTGGTTTTTCAATTAATATTTACTTACAATAGAATGCGGATTTAAAGGCTGGTAATGAATTACAAAATTGTGCTATATGACATACCATTTATGCATACAGTGTTGCATATTTTCATTTCTGGGAGATTTATTTGTATTTCTACTTACAAAAAAACTTTTTAAAACTTGTTTTATGGCTGGGCCCGGTGGCTTACACCTGTATTCCCAGCACTTTGGGAGGCGGAGGCAGGTGGATCACCTGAGGTCAGGAGTTCAAGATCAGCCTGACTAACATGGTGAAATCCTGTCTCTACTAAAAATACAAAAAATTAGCCAGGCGTGGTATAGGAGCCTGTAATCCCAGCTACTCGGGAGGGCTGAGGCAGGAGAATTGCTGGAACCCAGGAGGCAGTGGTTGCGGTGAGCTGAGATCGCGCCACTGCACTCCAGCCTGAGCAACAAGTGCGAAACTCTGTCTCTAAATAAATAAATAAATAAATACTACAAACTTTTTTTATGTTTTTGTTCAAAAGTAGCAGTGAGACTGTCCCACAAAGGTGACTAAAATAGCCTTTGTAACTACCGATATTTATAGAATATGCTTAGGGTTAGGGTATAACTTGCTTGTATTATACTCATCTACCATGTAGAAATACGTACATCATAAGGAAGTATAACACTGTTTGATTACCTTGGATGGTCATCTTCTTGGGAGAAAGAATCTGAGCGGTCTGACTTAGGAATCTACCACTGGGTACGTTATTGTAGGGCAGAGGCGTTCCCTAGAAATATGCAGGTTGGTGTCCCACCTCTTGAGAGTGGGTGCAGTTCTCAGAACCAGGAGAATATTTAGGGGGCAAGTTGTTAGTTGCTTCTTTAGTACTTTTCCCAGTAGACACATCTACCATTTTTAACCTCAACTGTGCATTGAAAAGCACCAAGGGAATTTAAAAGTAAATACCAATCATAGGGACATTTGAATTAGAATCTCAGGGATGGGGCTCAGGAAATCAGTAATTTTTAGAAACCCCACATGATTGTTATTACTTAGGTAATAACACCTACTGTCTGCCTTGTGGTCCTGCCAAGGTGACTGTTCCAGGCAACTGTAGTTCCAGGCTAGGGGGAGAACTGGACCATGGAAGTGAGGCTCTGTCCAGGTTAGGGAAGGCATAGAAGGACTCAGTCTCTTGGGCCAAATCAGTAAGGGAGCATCTGAGCTCCTTGAGAATAGGAAGGAGAGAAACCAATTGGAAAAAAGAATATAAGAGAAGCATGTAGATTCTGCTACTTAGCTTACTTTCCAGTCTCAAAGCTGAAAGCCAACATTCACTGTTCAGTTAATTTCAGTGACAAGATTCAAATCTTCAATCGTAAAGTTGTTAAAGGAAAGGATTAGACTGAAAAGTTAGGAAGAACGGTAGATGAAGAGTCCAAAGAGTTGAGGCTGGTCATTTAACCATTGTGTGGCCACGCCCTTTCCACAGGTGGAACAAGATAATCAGAATAGACATGGCCAATTCTGGTGTGTTTCTACAGTGTTTCCTGGTTACATTTTTTTAACATCTGTGGCAAACCATTTCCATAATTTTTTTTCTTTTTTTAGAGACGGGTGTCGCTCTGTCACTCAGGCTGGTATGCAGCGGCATGATCATAGCTCACTGCAGCCTCAAATTCCTGGGTTCAAATGAGCCTCCTGCCTTAGCCTCCTGAGTAGCTTGGACTACAGGTGTGTGGCACCACTCCTCTCAGCTAATTTATTTCATTTTATTTTTTGTAGAGACGGTGCCTCGCTATATTGGCTAGGCTGGTCTCAAACGTCATAGAAACTGGTTTTAGGTTCCTAGAGGCTGGCAGCAATTCTCGGAGGTAATGCAAGCAGTCCTCCTGCCTTGGCCTCCCAGTGTGCTGGGATTACAAGGTGTGAGCCACCACACCTCATCAATTTTTGTTTTAATATACTCTAAGGCTATTATAGTTCCGAGATCTTTTTTTTTTTCCTGAGAAATCTAGAAAGATGGAAGACAGTATGGGTCTTTTGTGTGTTTTTTTTGTCTTAAGACATTTTCATAAATGTCTGCCAAGGAAAAGGAAAGAGATCGAAGTGTTAATTAAATATTTATGATGGACATTTTTAGAGAAATGCTTTATAAACTTCCCCTCTCCCAGCTCTGGGTGACTTATTCTGTCATACTGTATTAACACATATTCATGCTGTAAATATAGTAAGAAAAGACAGTAGTTCACAATTTTAGTTTAATTTTTGCCATTATCGATTATGAGCAGTAATTTTTCCTTTTCTTTTTGAAGGTGATATGGAAAGCCCTGTGTTTGCATTTCCCCTGCTCTTAAAACTAGAACCCCACATTGAGAAGCTCTTCCTATATTCTTTTTCTTGGGACTTCGAATGTTCGCAGTGTGGACACCAATATCAAAACAGGTTAGTTTCTTTTGTTTTTTAAAATGGGTCCTTCTAGTTTCTCCACCACTGAGGTTAAGAGAACAATTTGAGCACCAGACACTGCAGTTTGATTGCTTCTTTAAACTGGAAGGGTCAGAACCTCATGGTTTGATAGACTGGTAGTAGGAGATTTCTTAAGGAGTTCTTCAGTGGGAAATAGGGACGATGAGAGGAATAATACACCTCCCTTCTCCAGAGTCCTTGCTGAGTAAGAATACCTCTCAGAATGCCTTGAAACTGTAGGCATTTTTGTTTATTCCTCTATTAGAGTTGAGGGGTTTTGCTTGTTTACTTTAGGTTTCTAACATTATAGACACTGGTTTTAGACTCTTGGAGGCTAGCAGCAATTCTCAGAGGTAATGCAAGCTTCCTCATTTCTTCCCATAGTCCTGTGAAAGACCAACCATCTCCAGAAGCCTTACACGTGAACTGTCTCAGCCATACTTTCTACTTTTCCTAATGCCTCTCAGTGGCGTATTAGAAAGGCCATGATTGATGCACCTGTTACCTTCAGGCTTTGCATAAGGTGTATATGAAACATAATGAATTTCATGGTTAGGCCCAGGTCCCATCTCCAGGTTATCTCTTTATCTTGGAGACACTTCTGGTCCCATACATTTCAGATAAGAGATATTCAACCTGTACCTACCATGTAAGGAGAGGAATAGGTTTTAGAAGAGGAGTCAGGGAGGCAAGGTATTGAAGATGACCAAACTGGCTCAATTGGTTATGTATTCAAATTATTACAATAGAAATAACTCTTTTCCACTTTTTTTTTTTTTTTGAGATGGAGTCTCACTCCCATCGCGCAGGCTGGAGTGCAGCAGTGCAATCTTGGCTCACTGCAGCCTCCACCTCCTGGGTTCAAGCAATTCTCCTTCCTCAGCTTCCTGAGTAGCTGGGATTACAGGTGTGTGCCACCACGCCTGGCTAATTTTTGTATTTTTAGTAGAGACAGGGTTTCACCATGTTGCCCAGGCTGGTCTTAAACTCCTGACCTCAAGTGATCCAGCTGCCTCGGCCTCCCAAATTACTGGGATTACAGGTGTGAGCCACCATGCCCAGCAACACTTAAGTTAGAAAACTTGAAGTCTCTTCAAGTTACTAAAGTAAAATGTGATATAAAAATATTACTTTTGAAGGCTGGGCATGGTGGCTCACGTCTGTAATCCCAGCACTTTGAGAGGCCGAGGCAGGTGGATCATGAGGTCAGGAGTTTGAGACCAACGTGGCCAACATGGTGAAACCCCGTCTCTACTAAAAATACAAAAATTAGCCGAGCATGGTGGCGGACGCCTGTAGTCCCAGCTACTTGGGAGGCGAGGCAGGAGAATAACTTGAAACCCAAAGGCGGAGGTTGCAGTGAGCTGAGATCATGCCACTGGACTCCAGCCTGGGCAGCAAGAGCTTCACTCTGTCTCAAAAAGAAAAAAAAAATTACTTAGATATTCGTTATCTAAATACGAAATCTTTTTTAGGTATTTAAGGAGTAGTCAAGGAGAGTTCAGTCTGGGAGGATGCTCCAGGGAATGCAGGCAACAAAGTGTTTGTTTGTTTTTAACTGGTTAGATCTACTAGAACAGGGTAAGGGAGGCCACGGAGTAGACACCATGAGCAGAGCTAACCCTCCTGAGTTGGAAAAAATTATGGACAAGAAGTTATCTTAAAAATAACTGTTGGCCGACATATCCAAGGAATATCACAAGGATGTGGTCCCTTTATGCATCCTGAGATAGATGAATGTGTGGAGATGGCAGCTGGTGGGCAACAGAGTGATACTAGCATGGTGGTGATACAGGGAAGTAGTTTGATCATGTTAGAAGCCATGGAACAAAGATATATCATGGCTGCTCTGCAGAAAAATTCGTGTCCCCTCCAAAGGGCCTGTTTTACTCTGATGTAAAAATTGGGTCAGATACATTTTCATATTAAGCTTTTTGTTAAGTAAGCTTTTGTAATAGTCCCCCAAACCCCCACTAGAACAGGGTGAGTATTAACGTTTTATTCATACCTAGGACATAAATAATTTAGTGTAAGCAAGTGAGTATGAGAACACATCTGTTTCCAGTCTTCTATCATTGATTTATATAAATTACCTGGTTTTCTCCTCACAGTAACTCAGTGAGGAAGATCCTAGTGTCCTCATTTGGCAGTTATGGATATGACAGCTTAAAAGGGGTTAGATTGATTCCCAAGATGACACACTGTAAGTGGCAGAGTCAGGAGACACATTTAGGCTTTTCTGGCCTCTAAGACTTTCTTGCTCACTGTGCTATACTCCTTTTATACCTGGGTTTTAAATAATATAAATAAGCTTGCTGATTAAAATCAGCTTAATTGTAGCTCTTCTGGAATCCATATCTTAGTTGTTTGACAGTTTTCGGTTGAGTATGTTCTGTGTGCTAGGAACTCAGGCACTGAAAATAGTGTATCTTTGCCAAATTTACTAATTAGGTAGTGAGATAATACATGAACACATAATAGAGGTCCAGAGAATTCGTAATTAATCTGATCTTTGGGCTGCTTAATGTTAACTTTGAATGCAAGATGTTAAATGCAGTTTAGGGATAGATAGCACAAACTGTGAGAGCTCAAGGGAGAGAAGCCACTAGTCGCTTTGGTTTCCTTTTTTGTTTTTTTAAAATAATCTTACTTTGTTCTAAAAATGAAAGTAGTTATAGGGGGAAAGCTAAAATGAAGTGACATTTCCTTAAATATGTTTTAATATGTCATCACTTAAAACTTACTTCCACTTAATCTGAAGGAGAACTATCCAGCAAATTCCTCTGTTTTTGTGAAGCTGTTTTTAGTGCCAGCGTAAGGGCTTTTTACTCAGCTTGGAAAGTATAACCCAGAGGCAGTTAAAAACAGTCTTCCGAGGCAGAGCTCAGGTCTGTTATTTATCACTGCACTCTATGTGTCGCCTTCCCCATCTGTAAAATGGGGATGAGAATGGCACCTGCCTCTGAGAGTTGTTTGGAGGATGAGTGTCCAGTGCCATGCCCTCCTTGCATAGGAGGTGTTCAGAAACGTCAGATGTCTTACGGAGAATTAACACTTACTTGCTGGGACAGTCTCCTTTTTATAAACTAAAAAATAGGAGCCTTTACGTAACAATTGTCTTTGAAAATTTAAGAATTTAGCAGAAATACAGTCAGTGCATTTATTGACATCTTTATGTTGCTTTGCTTTTAAAATGTTAACTTCCCTGAGTACTGGTCTGTTTTTAACAGACTGCTTTCTCTCAGGATTTGTCAGTATTTGCTGTTGTTTAGAAAGGAAGCTTGTATCTCTTAAGTAATATGTAACTGCTCTTTAAATTACAAGTATTTGTATTAAAGTGGATGCAGTTGAGGTTTAGTGTACATCTTTAAAGGTCATCTTTTTTTTTTATTATACTTTAAGTTCTAGGCTACATGTGCACAACGTGCAGATTTGTTACATATGTGTACACGTGCCATGTTGGTGTGCTGCACCCATCAACTCGTCAGCATCTTTTTAGATGGCATTGCTTTCAAGTATTCAGACTAAAGTGCAAATTTAGAACTTGTATAACCTATGAAAACAAAATTTGTTCACAGTGCTTTTTTTTTTTTAAGGATAAAGAAGTTAAGTTGTATGTATTCCTGATTTTATGTTTGGAAACACCCTTTTTCATTTTTGGTTGTCTGTAATGGCTAGCCAGTTTGAGTTACTTGAGTAAGGGGTGAGCTCTAATAAATTTGACAACCTTAGAACAGTGGTTCTTAACTAAGGGCTACTTTGTCCCCCTCGGGACATTTGGCAACGTCTGGAGACAACTGGATGCCATTACTGGCATCTGGTGAGCAGAGGCCAGGGATGATGCTTAACCTCCTACAGTGCACGGGACAGTGCTTCACAGCAAAGACATTCTGGTGAAAAATGTCAGTAGTGGTGTTGAGGAGCCCTGTCTTGTTTTCTTGCTTCATCTCATAGTTGAAAGCTATGGGAAATTAACATGGAGCATCTTCACAGAGCTTCTTTACTAGGGGTAGTAGGGAGGAACATTGTGATATTAACATGATTTGGGGAATTAAGAAAGTATGAATCACGAAAAAGGGGAGGAATACTTTTAGACATTGGTTTAAATTAATGTAAATGCATTTAACATTAATGAATTTATTATGTCATTTTTTTATAGGCATATGAAGAGTCTGGTCACCTTTACAAATGTCATCCCTGAATGGCACCCACTTAATGCTGCCCATTTTGGTCCATGTAACAATTGCAACAGTAAATCTCAAATAAGAAAAATGGTATTGGAAAAGTGAGTTAAAATTGTCTTATAATTTTTAGTACAAAATGAAGGTGGATTTACATTTTTCTTTTTGTAGGATTGAAAATGGTGACAACAATCTACCTTTGTGAAATCTGAGTTAACATATATTTCTGGGTTGCCAACTGCCTCGGCCTGTCTGGCCAGTGAGCCCACTGTCCCAGGTGAAGCCACTGAAGAGCCAACGTAGGCCGACTCTCTGGCCCCACTCTCCTAGTGTCTTTCCTTCTTTTTGCCTTTTTTCTCCCTTTAAGGATATCAAGATTCAGTTTTTCTCTCCTCTGCCAAGTGTATGGAGTTTCTAGAATTCTGGAATTTGCTTAATCAGATTTCAAGAACTAAGATGATTCAAAGATGAACCACAGGCTCATCTTTCTGAATTTCCATCTTCTAGATCTCAGCACGCTAATTCCTCGTCATCTTGTAAGCTGTCCGGTGGCCTTGGGCAGATATGTTTTCATTATATTTTGCCAGCTTTGCTGTTTGTCCTCAGTTGGGGAGGCTGGTCAGCATTACCTTTTCCAGTGTTACCAGAGCACCATCTCTTTAAACTCACAGGTCAGTTCCATCTCAGGCAGTTTGCCTCTCTCTCATTAATGCACTCACACATGTACACAACCTCTTTACTCTTAATTTTCAGTCTAATTGTACATTAAGGAAATGTTTTGAGCTTTAATTTGATGTAATAAAGAACCAGGAACATTAACCTTTATGCCCTTGAATGTGCCAGAAACCCCTCAGAATCTTTCCTAAAGGTTTATTCTCATTGAAGTAATAAATTCTCAGTTCATTAGTGCTCACAGGCTCAGAAGGAAAAAAGGGCAGTGGTCCCCTGTCCCCTCCCCCAGGTATCTACTTTAAACCTTCAAATTAAGGTAGTATTTACTTTGACATTTCAAATTGATGTGCCTATTCTACCATAATGCAGTCTGTTCTCCTTTTGTAGTAGTTGAGACTAGGGTTCTCACACCAATACCTGGGCCCCATATCTGTTTAGCCTTTCCCTGTCCTTCCAATGCAATTGCGTATTTGGCTAAGTCAGTACTCGGTGTTTGCATTGTTATTAATATACGTATGTTATTCTCTCTTCAGCCAAGCAGTAGACATAGTTAGGTTTCACTTTTACAATTCTTTGTTTTTCTGGGAATTATTTGCCTTATTTTCATTTGTTTTATTATGTACTGAGTTTTTGCCAAATACTTTAAAGACTTATTAATAAATTTCCAATACTCAGATGCTTCACAGTTTTTTACCCCGTTCCCCTCCCCTTTTTTTCCTGGAAACTCTTTCCTGTCACCTTTCACTTTTGCTGCAGTCTGTGCTGGTTCCTCTCTGGGCCTGGGGATAGGGTGCTCTTTATTATGTACACACTTCCAGTCACTATCCTAGTTTTTAGCCCAAGGCCTCATCCCCACATTCTACCACATCTGTTGCCCATAAATATCTAGCCTTTTAGGGGTTCTCTGGGAATGATAAGCTCTTCTTTGTCATCAGCATACGCACTCCACAGTACTCATGTCTTCGCTTTGTCCATTCTGCTGGGTAAGGTGCCACTTCTCTGTTTGCTTTCTGTCCTCTAAATATTTATTGACTTCTTATTTGCTTATTTTCCTTTCTTTGCCCTTTGCAACTCATGTCTTTTTTGCCCCTCACTATTATTTGATAGCATTTGTGTAGGAGGGCGAAGTGGGAAGGAAGAGGAGGTGTCTGTATGTGTCTGAAGATTACAGAAGTCTGTAATCTGCCTTGGCTGCCAGGTGTCAGTTGTGCGATGTAAATGTTGATGATGAGGTGAGGGGAAGAGCAGCAGAGCATGGATGGGGTCTGCCATCCTGCCCTGGACCATGGGCCTGCTTTCGGCTGCTTGGTATATATGATTTCATCTAGCTGTTCATACCTGCTTTTTCCCATGCTCCAGCACTGAACATAGACTCGTACCATTGTTTTGTTTAATCTGTTAATTGGTTGCCTTGCAGCATATGTATTTTTTAACTATCCAAAAAGTTGCTTTCCTTAAAGATTCACATTCTGATCTGGAAATGGATTCATTAGGTAAAACAGTTTTTTAATGGAAAATGTGTTTTGAGTTCCAGTGGGCCAATGTATGGGTAGAATTTATAATGTGGACATTTTCTGTTTTCTTCAAAAGTAAATTGAACTAGTATATGAAGTTTCACTTAAATTTTAAATAACAAGGTCTTTATATAAGTCCTTTGTGTTTTTTTTTTATTTTGAAATTTGTGTAACTTGATTTGTTTGTATCTAATCGAATTTAGAAACAAATTTAATACAGTTTTTAGGGATAACCTAAAAGTGATTGGGTTCGTCATGGTATCATATGTAATTAAAACATACAGGATTCTAAAAACTAATTAAGTTCCTTGGACACTTCATCTCAGATAACCCACTTCTCTAATGTCTCCCCACTGGGAAAAGAGTCCATTGATAGATAAATCAGGTGAATTATGCCTAGCGTGCCCAAATCTGCTACTTTTCTTTAAGTAAGTTGTTTAGGAGTTACATTCAGACCATGGTGACATGGAGCACCAAGAACTTAGAATCAGATTTCATTTTACTTGACAAACTCTTCAAAGATTACTGCCACAATCTCTCTGAGTGCAAGGCCATGGCTGCGCTTTGTGGGACAGGGATGCAATGTTTCTCTGCTATCTTTGGGTAGCAGAGGTTAACACAGCTCTCTTGTGCTTTCTTTCTCTCTTTTCTATTTTCTTTTCTTTTCCTGAGGGTAGATCTTTAAATAGGAGGAGTTTAACCACATGTTAGGTAAATGCAAATTGATCTTAGCCTGAAGTCTCTGGTTCACTCTTGGTTCCAGTTTGGTTAATTCCTTTCATTCAATTTTCCAGTGGTTGAGGGAGAACCTAACTTGCTCTCCTCGACTCTGAGCATCATTCTCATTGACACTTCAGGCATTATGGATAGGAAGAAGTCTGAGAACAAAACCTAGGGATAAAGTTTAGTAGAGATGGGGTTTCACCATGTTGGCCAAGTTGGTCTCGAACTCCTGACCTCAGGTAATCCACCCGCCTTGGCTTCCCACAGTGAGGCTGGAAATAAGACACGCTGGAATTGTAGGTAGGACACTAGAGTCTAGGGGAATCAAAGAGGAATATGAACAGAAAAAGGAAGGGGAAGGATATCATTTGATTGACTCCAAGATACTACTGTTTGTAAGTTGCACCTTTTAAAAAATATGCCATTAAGAAAGGCTGGCTGGACACGGTGCCTCACGCCTGTAGGCCCGGCACTTTGGGAGACCGAGGCAGGAGGATCACCTGAGACTAGGAATTTGAGACCATCCTGGCCAACGTAGTGAAACCCCATCTCTACTAAAAATACAAAAATCAGCTGGGTATGGTGGCACATGCCTATAGTCCCAGCTATTCAGGAGGCTGAGACATGAGTATTGCTTGAACTGGGAGGCAGAGGTTGCAGTGAACAGAGATTGCGCTACTGCACTCCAGCCTGGGCAACAGAGTGAGACTGTCTCAAAAAAAAAAAACAAAAAACAAAAAAAAAGACAGAAATGCTGCCTATTTAATTGTGTTCCATCAGTGATAAGGTGTATCCCAACTTCAGAGATGTTAACATACAGGAAAAAATTTGGAATTCATCCGGCATTTGGAACTTGCAAAGTTTTGGCCGGGCATGGTGGCTTACGCCTGTAATCACTTTGGGAGGCTGAGGCGGCTGGATTACCTCAGGTCAGGAGTTCGAGACCAACCTGGCCAACATGGTGAAACCCCATCTCTACTAAAAATACAAACATTAGCCAGGCGTGGTGGCATGCGCCTATAGTCCCAGCTACTCAGGAGGCTGAGGCAGGAGAATCGTTTGAGCCCAGGGAGCGGAGGTTGCAGTGAGCTGAGATTGTGCCACTGCACTCAAACTTGGGCAACAGAGTGAGACTCCATGTCAAAAACAAACAAACAAACAAAAAAACAAAGTTTCATAGTTACGTAAAGTAGTATGGAGGCCACGCTAAGATTTTCGACAAGGTAGTAAAGCTCTACATTATAGCTGTATTCTGCATCATCTCGGTTCTGCATCATGTCACCCCGCATCAGGCCCTGGATAGCTTTGGTGTACTGGTCCATCTTGTGGCAGTAAGGCTAGTGTAATTAAGAGGATATTTTAAAACCTAACATATAATTGCTCCAGTTGTTGTCTCTTTTTTTGCTGGTTAAGAAAATCAAATTTCTATCTATCTGAACCTCATAGAAGACTTTGGAGGTTTCAGACAAGTCATGTCTTACTACCTAGGGGAATGTACTTGTACTCAGCTAGAGTCTGAGTATCTTCAACATCCAGGGAATTGGGCTGAGTATGGATTTTGGTCTTGGCAGTTTTTACTTTTATTAATTTGCAAAAGAATAAAAGACTTGGAATGTACAAGAAGCATAAAAATGTGTCAGATGTTTTTACATGCATTATTTATCATGTCAGTATGTCTTAAAATATTTTCCACATGTAAACCTATGTAAAGGCAGGAAACTAGTGAGATGTCGTAGTCTAGGGATCAAGAGATTGTTTTAGTAACTAGCCTCAGTATCTTGAAAGGTATTATATAAGGTCAAGGAACTAAATATTAGTTAAGAGTCAGGCCAGCCATGGTGGCTTATGCCTGTAATCCCAGCATTTTGGGAGGCCAAGGCAGGCAGGTCACTTGAAGTCAGGAGTTCGAGACCAGCCTGGCCAACATGGTGAAACCCTGTCTCTACTAAAAATAGTAGTGTGTGGTGTGGTGGCACATGCCTGTAATCCAGCTACTCAGGAGGCTGTGGTGGGAGAATTACCTGAGCCCAGAAGGCGGAGATTGCAGTGAGCTGAGATCATGCCACTGCATTCCAACCTGGGTGAGAGCGCTAGTGTCCATCTCAAATAATAATAATAATAATCATCATCATCAGATAGGTGCCTAAAGCCTGCATATCCCGCTATAAGAATACATCTCAAGTTTTACTGGGTTCATTGATTCAGACATGCAGTTCACATTTTAACCTGTCTGAAAAGGTAATACGTGAAATTGATACCATGACATAGTTTAAGTGGCAGCATGTTTTCATAGTGGTACATTTGATAATTAGTGAAATCTTAGATTTGATGAAATATGATTTTTTAAAGTGGAAACGTTTAGTGTTATAGACAATTTGCAGGACTTTTTATTTTATAGGTACTTAAATTTTGAGGACTTGATTACTCTCTAACAAAATGATTGACAAGGATTAATTTATAAATTATCCCTTGTCAGTCTGAATAATCTGCAGTTTGGACATTGATTCAAGTTTATTTGGGCTGAATAAATTTTGATAAACTAAGTAAGTTTTGACAGCTGTTTAACTATTGGGAATAGGGCTATTCAACATTTTTCTTACATCCTAAGAGCTTTGTTAAATTTAGTTATTTGTGACCCACTGGGTTCTATTTTCTGGTTCAGCATGTTGCTGTAATGGTAAAATATAATTTTGAAATTACAGTTGTCTTGAGGTTAATAATAAATTGACCAATATGTTGTATTTTTTTATCTACTTAGTTAAAAATTGAACTTTTCCTAAGTAGAACTTTTAATTTGACAGACCCCCTTTGCTTCCTGAGATAACTGAAATAGGCCAAATTAATGCTTATTTGAATATCTTAGGTTTGTTGCTTTCTTTCACTTATTACCTACACCGCTTAACAAAAGCAATTAATCTGAGCACTTGATGCCACAGAAAATTCTAAAAGGTCTGGATTTTTTCCTTGGATTTTACAAAGTAGCTACCATGAGATCTTTAAGCCAAAGCCGCATTGCTGCTTACAGAGCAATTTTTGTTTAATGGTCTTTATTAGAGTCGTACTGCGTGATGACTTCCAACTGTCTGGGATACCATTCTGAAAAGGGTTTAGTGTTACATACTTCTTAGAGAGAGTTCTCCATTTCTAATTAAGGCACACATCTGGAGGTGCTCAAGAAAAATTAGTGCAGTTCGCCTTGGAAGTGTTATGTGTGACTAGTTCACTTCAGACATCTTTTGTATAACCAGACACATGGCATTAAATTTGTTTAACTTCTCTTGCTTTTCTCTCCCACAGAGTATCTCCCATATTCATGTTGCACTTTGTAGAAGGCTTACCACAGAATGACTTGCAGCACTACACATTTCATTTTGAAGGCTGTCCTTATCAAATAACTTCTGTAATTCAGTATCGAGCAAATAATCATTTTATAACATGGATTTTAGATGCTGATGGTAAGTGTTTAGAGGTTTTCTTTTAAGATAATTGGCATGGAAACTAAATTCTAGCATGTGGGGACTTTTTGGTTTTTGTTTTTTAAAAAAAGACAAACTTTGCTGTGACTCTTTCTCTCTCCATTCTAGCCTTTGCCTTCTCCTTCTCACACCTATTAAAGGTGGTGGTTTTAGTATCCTTTCTCATTTTTTCCTTTCCTTACATCATGTGTTATAGGTAAACACATGTGCATGTGCATATTTCTTTTTTAGATAAAGGATGAGATTACTAATGTTTGCTTAGTTTGTTTTCCTACTTAACATCTTTGCTTTTATTTTTTAGACATATATTTCTAAGACTATTAAACATGAGACTTATGTAGCCCTTCTGTCATTGTGGAATACAGTTTACTAACAGCTACCTTCAAGATAAAGCCTTTATTTAAGTAATTAAACCTCTTAGTAGAAAGCTAAGTAAGCACAGTTCATGGGTTTTGGGGATTTTCGCCTTGCATTTGTCTGATGTGGTAAAATATTGAGTTTGTTTTCTCATAATGTTCACTTTGTCTTAGACAAGATAATTCAGTCCCCTTAAAGGGTTGTATCAAGCCATTGATAAGGGCTCACTTTGATATAACCATTTTCTGTTATTTGGACACTCTTTCATACTTGCTATTTTCCTGCTGGGGATGGTCTGAATGGATGACACAATACTGTATTATAAAAGCACTTTACAAACTGTAACTTATATTATAAATGTAATTATTACCTTAAGGTTTTACCCTGTTTCAGATTTGAGTGGAAGTAGTTCTTCACAATATAAACCAACTTATTTTAACTGTTTTTGCATTTCAAAGAATGATCAATCCACTTCAGGTGCAGCATGGTTTCCAACCCTGACGGCATGGAAGAGTCATTTAGTTAGCTTCTAAAAATGTCCAGGCTGTACCCTGGAGACCAGCCTTGGGGATTAGGCCCAAATATCAATATTGGGTGTTTTTGGTATTTGTTTTTGGCCGACCGGTCCTTCCTTCCTTCCTTCCTTCCTTTCTTCCTTTCTTCCTTCTTCCCTTCCTCCCTTCCTCCCACCCTCCCTCCCTCCCTCCCTCCCTTCCCTCTCTCCCCCTTCCCTCCCTCCCTTCCTTCCTTCCTTCCTTCTTCCCTCCCTCCCTCCCTCTGTCTCATTCTCTCTCTCTCTGTCTCCTTCTTTGCTCCTTCTTTCCTTCTCTCCTAATTTTCTTCTTTATTTTATTTTATTTTATTTTATTTTTTTATTTTATATTTTATTTTATTTTATTTATTTTATTATTATTATTTTTTATTTTTGAGACAAGGTCTCACTGTATTGCCTAGGCTGTTCTCAAACTCCTGGGCTCAAGTGATCCTCCTACCTCAGCCTCCTGAGTAGCTAGGACTACAGGCACATGCTATGGCAATACTGTTTTAAACATTGTTTTCAAGGCTCCCCAGGTAATTCCAGTGTGGGTCATGTGGTAGAGAACCACTGACACAGGCAAACAAAAGATACATAAAGTTTTCTATTTAATGAGTAGGTGCAGGTAGTAGATAAGAGTGTAGCCACATAAACCACGTGCTTAATGAACAGTTTTGTTTTGTGTGTATGTGAGGGATTAGCAGATCTCTTAGTATATTTTGTTTTCCCTTTTGAAACTTATCAGAGAATTCATTTGTCTGTTACGCGACTAATGCTCTCGGTTTACTTTTTTTTTAATATCATGTTTTTTTTTGAGATGGAGTTTTGCTCTTGTTGCCCAGGCTGGAGTGCATTGGCGCAATCTTGACTCACCGTCACCTCTGCATCCTGGGTTCAAGTGATTCTCCTGCCTCAGCCCCCTGAGTAGCTGGAATACAGGCATGCACCACCATGCCCGGTTAATTTTGTGTTTTTAGTAGAGATGGGGCTTCTCCATGTTGGTCAGGTTGGTCTCGAACTCCTGACCTCAGGTGACCCACCCGCCTCGGCCTCCCAACGTGCTGGGATTACAGGCATGAGGCCGCGCACCCAGCTATATCTTATATTTTAATAAATATTTTAATTTGGTCTGTAAACTTTTCTCTTTGGCGAATGTGTTTTAAGTCTGTGTTGAGTCCTAGACCTTTGTTGTTCTCAGATAGTCACTAGTGATGCCTTAACATTAACCAGCCTGTTGGTAACTAAATTGGCCTGAATTGACAACTAAGGAAATGTCTCTTTCTCCTTTCTTAATCTTCGCATTCCTTAAGATTAGTTCTTTGTAGGAAGCCTTGAAGCCTGGTGGCAAGTATCCTTTTTCCCTCACAATCTTAAGTTCTTTCTCAGCATTAAAAAATGACTATGGGAGATATGTCAAACGAGTTTTCTATGTGTGCTCTGAGAAATCTTTTTTCAAAAAAGGATAGATGCACGTGTAAGGAAAAGAGAAACTGAGTGTACTTTCAATATTTAAGATTAAGTGTTTCTAAACATGTTTTGCAACATAAAATGATGACCACTGTGTTGGTCATTACTTCTCTACTGCTAAAATAATGTTTTCTAAAAGGATATACTCCTTAGAAAAAATACAGTACTTTGGGTGCGCACTATTGTAATCCAAGGAATAGGAAATGTTTTGTAGTAAGTACGACGGTGTTTGACATCATAATTTATTAATTTATCACATTTGGTTTCGTAGAAATGGAGTGAGCGGCGTATTTGCTGTGCCACGATTGCCATGACATCACACTTCTTGTATCTATTTCTGTTTCATAGATATGTAGATACTGATACATACAGTGGAAGTGTGGATTGTTTTGATAAGTTTCTAATGAAAGTACAGATATTTGTTGATTATTAGAAGTTGTTACTCATCCAAGCCTGTGGTTAGCTTTCCCCAAATTATCATGTGGTAGTAAGTAAACTGTAAAGAAATGTACCCTCCCTTAACCCCACACCACCTGTTAGCACCTAGTCAGCTTCCTTTACTTCTCAGCCGTACTTTTTGTATTTTTTTGTTGTAGTGGTAAAATATATGTAACATAAAATTTACCATTTTAATATTTGTAAGTGTACAATTCATTGGCGTTGAATACATTGTGTGCAGCCACAATGCTGTGCAACCACTATCACCATCAGGACTTTTTCATCAACCCAAACAGAAACTACTCATTAAACAATAACTCTGCATCCTCCCACCCCAAAACCCTGGTAACCACTATTCTACTTTCTGTCTCTGTGAATGTGTCTATTCTAGGTACCTCATAGAAGTGGAATCATACATTATTTGTCCTTTTGTGCCTGGCTTATTTTACTCAGCATATTTTCAAGATTCATTTGTATTGTGGCATGGAGCAGAATGTCATTCCTTTCTAAGGCTGAATAGTATTTTATGTATTATCCATTTATCTGTTATGGACATTTGACTATTGTGAATAATGCTCTGAACATTGCTGGACAAGGAACTGAAAGTCCCTGCTTTTCGTTCTTTTTGGTATCTACCTACAAGAGGAATTGCAGGGTCTTAATGGTAATTCTGTGTTTAACTTTTGCCAGACTGTTTCCACAGCAGTTGTGCCATTTTACATCCCCACCAGCATTACACAAGGATTCCAATTTCTTCACATCCTTGGCAACATTTGCTATTTTCTGTTTTTTTGTTTGTTTTTGTTTTTGTTTTTAAAGGAATGGTTTAAACAGGTTCCCTTCTTACTCCTCATTCATGCTTTAGTTGACTACGTAAGGACCCCTGTCCCTACTGCACTACTGAAATTGTGCAGGCAAAATAACTGCCAGCGACCACACTGCTACAAGTAATGGACTTTTCCCAAGTTTTGTATTAATATTTCAGTATTTGGCAGTGCATCCTACTCCTAGTTTTTAAACTCTTCCCTTGTCATCCATCATCTCATTCTCTCTTGACAAATGTGAAAATGGAAGCTCCAAAATAAGAATTAAAACGAATATTGATCCTTCAGGTAACAAGCTTCATTTATCATGAAAATTTATATATATGAAACATTCTGTTTTCTGATGTTATTGGATAAATTAGGTGATAACCAAATTCTAAGTTCCAAAAGTTAAATATACTCCGTCTAAGGACTTTAACATGGCAGACGACGGTGACAAGGTCAAGACCATGTTTTAGAGTCTTCTCCTTTGGTGTGTATTCAGTGATACAGCAGCTGAAAAGGCCAGAAGAAAGTTAACCTAGGATGGTGGTTTTTGGATATCTAACTTTCACTTTTTTTCCATCCTCCAGGAAGTTGGCTGGAATGTGATGACTTAAAAGGCCCATGTTCTGAAAGGCACAAGAAATTTGAAGTTCCTGCTTCAGAGATACATATTGTTATCTGGGAAAGAAAAACATCCCAAGTGACAGATAAAGAAGCTGCCTGCCTTCCACTTAAAAAGACTAATGACCAACACGCTCTCGGTAATGAGAAACCAGTATCTTCAACATCGTGTTCTGTGGGTGATGCTGCCTCAGCTGAAACAGCCTCAGTAACTCACCCTAAAGATACATCAGTTGCCCCTCATACTTTTTCACAGGACACAGCTGTAACTCATGGAGATCATTTACTTTCAGGTCCAAAAGGTTTGGTTGACAATAATATTTTACCTTTGACACTTGAAGAAACTATCCAGAAAACAACCTCAGTTTCACAGTTAAATTCTGAAGCTTTCCTGTTAGAAAGTAAACCTGTAGCAGAAAATACAGGAATTCTCGAAACAAATACTTTGCCATCACAAGAATCACTAATGGCTTCTTCAGTATCAGCTCCATGTCATGAAAAGCTTATCCCAGACCAATTTGTGGACATAAGTTTTCCATCCCGAGTTGTAAATACAAACATGCAGTCAGTACAGCTGAATACAAAAGACACTGTAAATACTGAATCTGTGAATAATACTGATGCTACTGGTCTTTTACAGGGAGTGAAGTCAGTAGAAATTGAGAAGGACGCTCAGTTACAACAATTCCTTACACCAAAAACCGAACAATTAAAACCAGAACACGTCACATCTCAGGTATCTAATTTGAAGAAAAAAGAAACTACAGCAGATTCTCAAACCACAACATCTAAGTCATTACAGAATCAGTCTCTGAAAGAAAATCAGAAGAAGCCATTTGTGGGAAGTTGGGTTAAAGGCTTAATAAGCAGGGGTGCTTCTTTTATGCCACTCTGTGTTTCAGCTCATAATAGAAACACTATAACTGATTTACAACCTTCAGTTAAAGGGGTAAATAATTTTGGTGGCTTTAAAACTAAAGGTATAAACCAGAAGGCCCGCCACGTATCCAAGAAAGCGCGTGGGAGTGCAGGTAAGCCTCCTCCCATCAGTAAGCCACCACCAGGCCCTCCATCGTCTAATGGCACAGCTGCCCACCCACATGCTCATGCTGCTTCAGAAGTTTTGGAAAAGTCTGGAAGCACCTCGTGTGGAGCTCAACTCAACCACAGTTCTCATGGAAATGGTCTTTCTCCAGCAAACCATGAAGACTTGGTGGAAGGTCAGATTCATAAACTCCGTCTAAAACTTCGTAAAAAGCTAAAGGCAGAAAAGAAGAAATTAGCTGCTCTTATGTCTTCCCCGCAAAGCAGAACAGTTCCAAGTGAAAATCTAGAACAGGTGCCCCAGGGTGGGTCTCCAAATGATTGTGAATCAATAGAGGACTTGTTAAATGAGCTACCATATCCAGTTGATACTGCCAGTGAGTCTGCATGCACCACTGTTGCTGGTGTTTCCCTGTATGGTAGTCAAACTCATGAAGAAATTTTAGCGGAATTATTGTCTCCTACAACTGTTTCAACAGAGCTGTCAGAAAATGGGGAAGGTGACTTTAGGTATTTGGGAATGGGAGATGGTCATATCCCACCACCAGTACCAAGTGAATTAAATGATGTTTCCCAGAACACACATCTGAGACAGGAACATAATTATTGTAGCCCCACCAAGAAAAATCCATGTGAAGTTCAGCCAGACTCTCTGACAAATAATGCCTGCGTTAGAACATTAAACTTGGAGAGTCCCATGAAGACTGATATTTTCGATGAGTTTTTTTCCTCCTCAGCATTAAGTGCTTTAGCAAATGACACATTAGACCTACCTCATTTTGATGAATATCTGTTTGAGAATTATTGAATTAATGCTTGTTAACTTTTTTTCATATAATATTTATTCTTAGAAGAACTTACTATGTGTTCAGGTAGTGTTTATACACTGGACTTGTGTAATTACTTGTGTAATGACGATGAACAAAATGCAAGGTTTGACCCTTGGTTCTGCCCATTAAGCATGTAATCTGTCTTACAAATTAAAATCATTTAATGTGTTCTCCTTTTTGGTTTTATTTTGTTCTTGTTGAGAGTATGAGAATTTCAAAATGTTAAAGGTGAAAAGTGGCATCAGTTTCTGACAGTTTGTACAGTTGGATGCGTTAAAGTTTTAGATTTGAAGTTTTGGTTATGTTAATGTTATGAGTGATCTTTGGGGTGGTTTTCTTCCTCTGGAAACCTGTTGCTGGTTGGCACCTTTGCCCGTGGTGCCCAAGTTCTTGTCCTGCATCCAGGTATGCAGACGAAGGGTGAAGTAGATGAAGAGTAGCTTTATCTAGTGTGAGAACAGCTCAAGGAGACCCACAGTGGGTAGCTCCCCTCTGTAGGCAGGCAAGTCATCCCTCAAGTGTTCAGCTCTTAGCAGAGAAAAGGCCCTGGAGAGAGTAACTCTTCTCAGCTCTCAGCAGAGAAAAAGCCCCGGAGAAGGTAGCTTGTGTTCACAGGCAGGTTGTCCAGAGGTCTGCTGCTCTCAGGAGAGAGGAGGCCCTGGAAAGGATAGTTTCTCTCCATAGGCAGGTGGTTCTGCTGTCTCTGCAGGTCTCTGAAGCGCTTAGCAGAGAGGGTATCTCCTCCCTGTTGCTGGTCATCCCACCGTCTGCTCAGCTGTGGCTGAGCCCAGGGCTTTTTTATGGGCCTCTGTGGGGAGGAAGTACATACTGACTGGCCCATGGGTGGCCACAGGTGAGTCTAGAAAAGGCACCAGTTCCCACTCCTGTAGGTGGGACTGGCAGCCTGGCCCCCAGCCCTCAGGCCCTCCCTGTTCGTGGCTTCTAGGTTTCCCCCACTGCTTTGATCCAGGAGCCGCTGCCAACAGCAGGGAGAAGCCAAGCAGTGGGGACACGCGCTTCCTAACCTGCAAAAGCCGGCCCCCAGAAGTGCAGGGATGCCTGAGTCTGCAGCCGCACCCAGGAGGGCGGGGATCCTGCCTGCTCCAGGGAACGGGTGGCCCCAGCCATGCCTGGCTGCTGCAGCTGGAATGATAGCAGGCTGGCTGGAGCACCTGCCACCATTATTAGTTCAAGAGTTGATGCACATTTAAGTTGTATACGGTATACGAATGTATGACAGTTTTCCTTATGGTTGTGTGGCCTTCTATAAGAGCCTACACCTGTTTGTTACACCAGTAGAGTGCTGTGGAATGTAAACTTTCCCTATATCACTTATCTCCTTTATCTCTTCATACAGAGGAGGGCAGGAAACCTTATTACTTGAACTTTAGTAATGTTAAGTGATCAATAAATCTATAAATAAATCGATAACAGAAAAAAGTTACCTATTTTTGGGATGATGTACAAAAAGTTTACATGTTATCACAAATACCATCTTTTTTCCCAAGACATTTACTTCTGTAACCAACGTGGGACACCATCTCACAGTTGTATTTTGGGAGAGAATAATAACCAGTGCTTATAAGGCTTGTTATATGTTGGTTGTTAGATAGATATTATTTCGTTTAGACCTCAACATTCCTGTGAGTGACATACTTTTATCACATCTTACAGATAAGGAGACCGTACTTAGTTGTGGAGCTGAGATTGAGTAGAGTGGCTACCATAGCATTTGAGTGCTGAACTTACCAACATATGTTCCACTCCTCAGGCTTCATTTAAAGTAGGATGCCCAAACAGCACCACCGCCCTAGAGATTAGAGTTAACAGCAGTACTTACTGAGGTTTAAGCCTGGCAGCCAGTGTCCATGCAGAAAAATTATTTGCTAGGGACTCAGTACTTCATAATTTGTCAAATTTACTCCTAAGCTTCTGTGTTGTTTTATTTATTTATTTTTTTCTGACAAAAGTAGTGCATATTGTCAAGGAAAAACTAGGAAAATACAAAAAAAAAAAAGATTTTTGAATACTTAGTGATAGCGACTACATTTTCCTATTTTATGCATATAGACTTTAAATAAAAATGAGATCCTATTGTATCTGTTTTTATGGATAACCATTGTTTCACTAATGTTTTAAAATTCTGAGGTCATTTATACTGTCTTGCCATTGTTAATTGCAGCAGGTATCCTTGTTGATAAATTTTTGCATGGATCCAAGTTTTGTTTTCCAGGAATGGAGTTGCTTGGTCAAGGGAAATGCACATTTAAGGTTTTTTGATGATTGCATGACTGACTTCCCTGGGCCCTCGCCAACACTAGGTAGTAGTATTGAGAGGAGCGGGGAACCAACCCTGGCTGCTCCATGATTACCAGTGAGCCTGAACATTTTCTATAACTATTGTCCACTTGAGTTTTTTTTTGGTGTGTGTGTCGGGGGGGTGGTAGGGGAGGATTTAAGAATTGCCCATCCTTTGCTTGTACTAATAATCTTTTCAACAAATATTTCTAGATTACTGCTAAGGACCAAGCACTGTTATAAACCTGAGATAAGGCAGTGCACTAGAAGGAAATCCCTGCTCCTTTTGAGTTTGCCTTCCAAAGATGGAGATCAATATATAATGTTAGATGGTAATAGGAGATACATACAGTTGACTTGTGTCGTTTTTAGTAGTTACGGTCAATAAAGTCGCCTTGAACGCTGAATTAGCATAAACTGAAATACTGTTCCTAGGAGAAACAGGTTCCTGCTACCCTGTGGTCATGACATTTTTGTGAAACAACCACTATATAAGCTTTTTTGTTTCTGTTTAAAGACGTTATTTGATCTATATGGTTGATTCTTTACATTAACATGGCCAACAGCACTGTAACTCAGCCTGAACAAAGCTTATCTAACACATGATGTTCTCCATAAGGCACACCATAGCCTCCTGTGCTTAGGAACACTAAACGGCACTTCAGCACTGCACTTGAGGACGTTTTAAAAACAGTGAAATCAAAAAGCACCAAAAAAACAACAATAACAAAAAGACACTAAATAGCCCCCCCGCCCCCAAAAATACACTTGTTTACAGTGTGAACTGAAAGAGGAAGGTGGAGTATTGACTTGTTTGACCTCAGCTGGAAATGTGCACGTCATGTGACTCAAATTTTTCTCTATTCTGTGCATGCATGTCCACAAATGACCACAACAAGCACTGAAAGCATTGATTTTTAGGGTTACAAATTAATTTTAGCAAGTAGAATTCACAAATATGGAATCTGTGAGTAACGAGGACTGATTCTTATGTCAGATGGCACTAAATACTACGGAGAAGAGGAGTGGATGAGAGGGAGAAGTATTTTAGACTAGGTAGACTTGGAAGGTTTCTTGGAGGTGGGTGACGTTTGAGAAGAGGCTTCAATCAAGTTACGGAGTTCACCATGTGATTGCAGGAAGAGCGTTCCCGGAGAGCAAAAGTCATGAAGAGTGAGTGTTAGGCATGTGTCTGGTCTGGTTGGGCTGCTATAACAAAATACCTTAGACTGGGTAAAAATGTATAAATAATAGAAGTGTATTGCTTACAGTTCTGGAAGCTGGCAAGTCCAAGATCAAGGTATCAGCACATTCTGGTGAAAGCTGCTCTGCTTCCTGGCTGGTTCCTCTCACTGTGTCCTCACGTGGCGTAAGAAGGGCACAGAGCTCTTAATGTCACCGTCTCCCCAGTGGCCCCATCTCTTAGCACTGTTGGATTGGGGATTTAGACTTCACTAATTTTGGGGGAACACAAATATTGAGACCACAGCAGCGTGACTGAGGACAAGGAAGAGGCCAGTGTGGTTGAGCAGAGTGATCAGGGAAGGAGAGTTAGGACATGAGTAAAGAGGCTGGCAGACACCAGATCTTATGTGGCTTTGTAGGCCATAGTGAGGACTTTGTCTAAGCTGAGAATAATAACCTCAGGAAAGTTTCAGGCAAGAGGGTAACATGGTCTGGTCTGGGTTTTAAAAGGATCACTGAAATGGGGAGACTGTCTGCAGATGGTCTGAATAGGAGTCCTAGTCTATTACAATGTCCTTGGAGTTTAGGGTGGTAACTGGAGGTGTTCAAGAGTAGTTGGATCATTGTTGCATTTCAGAAGTAGAGCCAACACGATGTGTGCATTGGCTGTGAGGTAGAAGAGGAGTCAAAATTAATTCCAGGTTTTACTGACTGAGCAAATGTGCTATTTCCTGAGATGGGTCAGATTTGGGAAGGAGAATTTAAAGGGGATAAGATAATCCCATTTGGAGTGTGTTAAGTGTGAGATTCCTATTTGACTTCCAAGTGGAGATGATTTAATAGGAAGATAGATCTGCAACACTAGAGATCAGCGGAGAGGGACACACTGGAGATAGCCATTTGGGAATTAGGAGTGTGTGGATCATAGTATAGGATGGGGTCATTAGGGACTTAAAACAGCTCTGGAGAACAAAAATAGGGCCTTGATCTTGGACTTCCTGGTTTATAGAACTGTGAGCAACATATATATATGTGTGTGTGTGTGTGTGTGTGTGTGTGTGTATATATATATATATATATTTTTTTTTTTTGAGACAGAGTCTTGCTCTGTCATCCAGGCTGGAGTGCAATGGCAAGATCTCGGCTCACTGCAACCTCCACTTCATGATTCAAGCAATTCTGGTGCCTAAGCGTCCCAAGTGGTTGGGAGTACAGGCGTACACCACGCCCAACTAATTTCTGTATTTTTGGTAGAGACGGGGTTTTGCCATGTTGGCCAGGCTGGTCTCAAACTCCTGACCTCAAGTGATCTGCCCACCTTGGCCTCCCAAAGTTCTCGGATTATAGGCATGAGCCACCATGCCCAGCCTAAATTTCTAATATTTATAAATTATCCAGTCTGAGATATTTTGTGATAGCAGCCCAAGCAGCCCAAGGCAAAGGCCAAGCACACTCGCTCCTCCTGACTTCTGCTCTTGTGGAATGTTTCTCCTTTAGTCACATGGGTTGCCTGCCTAGCTTCATTCAATAGGAGTGTGGTGCCCTGAAAATACAAGGAAGAATGCTTTTCTTTTCTTTTTTTTAATGGAAGGGATGATTATCTGTCAGATGCTGCTGAAGAAGAGTAATAGGAGGACTGAGAATGAGCCATTGGCTCTGGCAATAGAGAAGTCCCCGCTAACTCCAC